TATCTTTTTTATAATAACTTATTTTTTATCTTTATTTTCTTTCTTTTCCTTTTTTTGGTGATATCATGTATCGATTCATGTTAGCTGACCTCAATATCTTTTGGAACTAAGGCTTGGATGTTGTTGTATTAAGCCCATAAGTCCAGGTCTCTATTAGATTCAAAGGGTTCAATCAGAGCTGGTTGGTTGGGAAGTATCCTTACAATTCACTTCTAAGAACTCTCTGACTGAACTATATAATGCACAAACTATTCTGGCTGTTAATTGTGGTGAATCTGCTATCATCTTTGGAAACAGCACACTGATTAGTGATGCTGACAGAGCAATTACGAAGGACTATGCTACTGGTGAAAAGAATGGAAACTTACAGAGGCGCAGCTACTGGTTGCTTGAAGAGGAGCAGTCAAACAATGTTCTAGTGCGTTCCAGGGAAGTAAAGGGTAGCAGGGGTACTTTAGACGTACTCGAGAACTTCAATTAGTTATTCCCTCTTTTCCAGATGGTGAAGAAGACGTGAACAGCTCTCAAGTGGGCACTACACTTTCTTCAAAACCCCAACAATATGATTACCAAGCAACACCACATGTTACAGATACGGCTAGCCTTAACAGTGCTCAAGCCTCAGATTATGAAGAAGCTAAGACAGCAGTGCACAAGCAACTATCAACTTCTGGGATGCATTCTTTTACTGAGTTTCTAGCAATCATTAACCCCAAGGGTGAAGATGAACTTTCTGCTCCTTATTATCCCAGCTACATCTCAAATGCTCATAAAGGCCATTTTCCAGCTGTTTCTGAAAAGATTACTGCAAGTAATGGATATGTACCATTTCCAAATTCACTTTCCACATCTCAGTCAGTTGCAATAAGCAAGATGAATGGGCAAGTGAATGCTATGATTGGTTTCACAAAGGCCCTAGAAGAATGGGGGGGCACCTAAGGGTGAATCAGTCAAACTATCAAAGTGGTTTGTGGATCCGAAGGCTGAACAAAACCCAGGTAATGATCTGGATGTATCAAAAGGTGAGGATTGGGAGCTGATAGTGGTTCACGGGATTGGTGACAGAATAATATCATTGGAGCATCTTCCTACTGGAACTCAGTATATAGTGGATTTGGGTATAGATCTGCTGGTAGTGATTTGGGTATAGGATGCAGCATATAGTGGATTTGGGTATAGATCTGCTGGATGCATGGAAGAGTATGATGTCATTGAAAAGGATCAAGAGCATGCAGGAGGAGTCAAATCTTGTGCATTACAAGGAAATAAGGAAGTTTTGGTTCAATGGAGACAATTATCAGATTTGGAAGATTTTTGTGAAAGTTTCAGCAAATGCCAGGAGGAATGGATGACAAAGGTTCATGTACTGAAGCTAAAGGCACTGAAATCGGTGAGGTACTGGGAAGGAAGGGGCGCGAGGATGAAGCTGGATGGCATGACTGATCTTACTCCCCACCTTGAGGACAAGGTGGTTGTCAAAGGAGGGAGTGATGATAGAGACCTTTGGAGTTATGGGCTTACTATTTTAATAAAATGTAATAGTGGGCTGGGCCAAGTAATTAGATAGATTGAAGGAAGCCTCGTTTGGAAAAGAATAAACAGAAGGAATAGAGCAGGGAGAGGGTAGGCTGGAATTCAGTTGGAATTAGGCTTGGGAGAGTGAGACCTCTCGAAGAGTCTCAAATATGTTTCTTCTCTTTCTTTGTGTTCTCTGCTATTGTATTTGGTTTACCGTTGCTGTGAGGACCGGTTTCTATCACAGTATTAGAACTAACACTCCATCTTTTCATTTTTACCTTATCCATTATCATTGAAGTTTATTCTTACTTGTCCCGTTTATCAATTTTTACAACTTTTCCTTAACTTTTCAGTTTTCATCATGTCAAAAAACGCAAGTATCCTACTTTTTTGTCCACTCTTTCCATTTCCTTCTGTTTCATCTTCTCTTTCACTCTTTCAATGTTTCTATACTGTTTACTCTTAGTTTGCATGAAAAAACTATTGGAGAGTAAAAGAGAAAGGATGGAGTATATGATGCATTGCTTTGAAATACTCTCTCGCTATCCAGTTATAGAATTACTTTTCATCCCAAAAAAGAATATTTCTTCGTTTTCATATGACTCCATTCCTTTTAGCAGTTGTACCTTGCCTAAATAAAAGAGTTGTAGCTTGACCAAATTTGATTCTTTTTCCTGAGGTGGAGGTAGTACATCAATTACAATTTAACAATTTATTGGTTTAATGCACCAAACCCCCTCGTGATATATAAATTCGGCGCATTAGTCCCTTATGATTTAAAAAACTCTTCAAACCCCATGTGTTAAATTATTCATGTGCAAAACACACTCTATGAACAAATTTAATTGCCAAATAAAAGAAAAAAGATTAGTATTTTGTACTACCTCTGTCCCAAAAAACTTTGTCACCTTCAAAACTTTGACCAACTATATATTTTTATTGGAAATCATTTAAAATATAAAAATGATATATTAATAAAATGTTCCTTGTTTAAAGTATTTTTTATAAAAGTACAAAATTTATAACTTTCATAATGCTATATTAATCAAAATTATGGTCCAAGCTTTATGAGATAACAATTTTTTGGGACGGAGGTAGTATAATTAAGAGATCTGGACAAGTTTACTTGCATATTCAGTCATAATATTAAGACATGCAATTTCCAAATCGTTAAATCTGTTCTTGGAGGTGGTTTTGGGCATGAATAATTATAACACAATGCGGTTTAACGCATTTTTTAAATCACATGGGACTAACGTGCCAAATTTATATATCACTAGGGGGTTTGGTGCATTAAATCCAACAATTTCTATCATATGCACTTTTATATGAACTTCCATGACCCGGGGGTGTTAAAGGAACATCCTCAATGTTTTTCTTCTTGCATCTTGGAGTGTGCTGGCATATACTATTACTCTGTTCATCCTCTCACGCCCAATTGATTCAACTCGAGTTTGGTTTCTTTTTGAACAAAAACTTGTTTGAGACAGTTTTACATGAATGTGAGACAGACATTCCTTTAATAAAAAATCTCACCTCTACAGCGTATATCGGCAAAAATATAAAATCTATATTCAAATGTATTTCTTTTAGACAACAAACATCTTTGTCACACGTTTGTCTCGCCACAGACAGCTTCTCTGAGAAACTTTACTGTAGTTAGACTGCTCATTTTAGTTGATATTAACAACTCTCTTATCTTTTGGTCTTTTGGGGACTATGGCTTGGATGTTTTGTTATATAGACTTCTTTCTCTCCATTAATTTCCTGCTTCAATATGTGTACATTTTAAGCTGTTGATGATATAGTGACAGTTTTGAAATTATTATTTGTACATGGGACAGACCTCTAAGGAATACTTGGAAAAACAGATCGGTGAGGTGGAGAATAACCTCAAAGAGCTATTACAACAAGATCCTGGTCTTGCTCGTCAGATAATGTCCATGTCCGTGTGATGTCACCTTATTGTGCTTTTGTTGGGCATTATAAGATATTTACAAGTTCCTAGTTGACTCTCTTTCGACTGTATTTGAATTTACGATCTTTTCACTTTACATTGTGTTTTATTATGACTTGTTCAGTTATGGTAATGTGAAATCCCGTCGAGAAATGGATTGTTCAGCCTCTATGGTCACAAAAATAAAATACTATCAGCTGGTTAGGGTTTTAGAGTTGATGAAAAAAAATCTAATGAGCAAAAGATCTGAATTGGTAAAGTCCTTTTTGTACTCCCCGTTAAATTGAATGTATTAAGTTCATCTGGAATATGAAGTAAGAAAGTAAAACTGGTATGATTCAGGTTTGAGGAGCGTAGTCGGTAGAAGATTGACGATTCCATTGTACTGGAAAAGGAAAGTTTGACACTTTCTTAGACAATTAAATAAGGGAAGACTGGGAAGTTAGCAAAATATTCTTAATGAGATGCAACAATAGGATTTTTTTATTATTCATAGGAGTATATTATACTTTGACTTAATTTTAAGGTATAAAAAGAAAATGTTAATATGTTATGCAACAATAGTGGTGGACTTGGGTCGGGCCACCCGGCCCGTGGACCGGCCTGGCCCGCTACTGTGCGGGACCGGACCGGTTCTCGGGTCCGGGTCCGGGTCGGGCCTAGGCCTGTGGGGGAGGGTGGATCCGGGCTCGGGTCTCACATTTGGCAAACCGGCCGGGTCGGGCCCGGGCCCGGGCCAAATTGTTTTTTTTTCCTTTCATTTTTTGGGGTTCCACCCGGGTTGGGCTTGATGGTTTTGGGGGTGAGGGGGGGTGAGGGGGGGTTAGGAAAGCAAAAAAAAATACCCAAACCGGACGCTCGGACCCGGACCGGACCCGGTGGCTACCTGGGCCGGTCCTGGGTCCACCAATTCTGAACCGCCGGCCCGCCCGGGCCTAAGCCCGACCCGGACCCGGCCCGGGCCTAAGCCCGACCCGGACCCGGCCCGGGCCTAAGCCCGACCCGGACCCGGCCCGGGCCTAAGCCCGACCCGGACCCGGCCCGGGCCTAAGCCCGACCCGGACCCGGCCCGGGTCTGTGCAACAACCAAACATTGTCAACTTTGTCTCAACTTTAGATTTTAAAACAAAACAGGAGCTAATAAACTTTGTGCTGATATCCAATAGATATGCGTAGTTGCAACGTCAAACGCAAACCGTTAAAATTAGTTTTTTTAGTAAACATTTGAAATTGAATAAGAACGAAAAACTTACAAATTAATGAGCAATTTTTGTGTATCTAATAAAAATGTAATGAAACTATGAAAGTATTGTTTATATAGCAATATAATATTGAAAGTTGAAATAAGTTGGTGATGGAGCATCCCTTTAAATAAATTCTGTATAACTAATGATTTTGAGAATGTGTGATTGTGAGATGCAGCATGCATGCAAATTATGTGAATTCTTGGAGAAGTCGATTTAATAGCAACAAAATAGGTCATATATTGTGAATGAGGAATAAAAAATTAAAGTTTCTGCAACCGATTCCAAGATCTAGCTATCCCGTTATTATAATACTATCGTATAAAGTAATTATTATTTTCCTGCCACAACTATATATAAATATACATTCACATTCAATTATGCATGTGCTTAGACTTTGACACACAATTCAAGCTCCAGAGCTAATAAGGTAAGAGAAGAGTAGGTGCATGCATAAGAAAACTTGTAAATATATAAATATATAATATAATTAGATGAAATCATGCATCTCATCTTATACTATTTTCTTTTGAACCTTAGCTTCATTGTCTTCTGCCTTTACAACTCAGTTCCTATATATCTTTTATGATAGTTTCAGTAAAGTAAAGAATAGCTATTACATATTCTTGAAAGTAGTTTACTTTAAGAACAGAGAAGTCTTCTAAATAAGTAAATAATAACTCTTCTTCTATTTGATAACTATCAAACAATTTTTTTTGTTGATCTCTCACACACATAATGCACAACTCTAAAATCTGACAGACCTAATTCATTCTTATCACGTTCTAATTTGATCCAAATTATATATATATATATATATATATATATATATATATATATATATATATATATATATATTATATATATATATATATATATAGACAAATCTTCATGTCAGGCCGGCCTGACAGGATGCTCCGTCCGGCCGAGCCCGTTTGGGCACCTTCCCGGTGGAATTTTTTGATGAAAATTTTTGAGCATGTTCCTCATCAAGTCTAGTTTGTGCATACCAAATTGCAGCTCAAAATTCGATCGGGAAGGCATTCAAATCATTTTTTGAAGTTGACTGCGTCAAAGTATACATATAAAACTGCAGTCAACTTCAAAAAATGATTTGAATGCCTTCCCGATCGAATTTTGAGCTGAAATTTGGTATGGACAAACTAGACTTGATGAGGAACATGCTCAAAAAATTTCATCAAAAAATTCCACCGGGAAGTTGCCCAAAAGTGCTCGGCCGGACAGAGCATCCCGTCAGGCCGGCCTGACAAGAAGACCACTCTCTCTCTCTCTCTATATATATATATATATGAGTGCTCTTCTCATCAGGCCGGCCTGACGGGATGCTCCGTCCGGCCGAGCCCATTTGGGTACCTTCCCGGTGGAATTTTTTGATGAAATTTTTTGAGCATGTTCCTCATCAAGTCTAGTTTGTCCATACCAAATTTCAGCTCAAAATTCGATCGGGAAGGTCGTCAAATGATTTTTGCAACTTAACTGGTCTGGAATATGTATTTTCCGGACCAGTTAACTTGCAAAAATCATTTGACGACCTTCCCGATCGAATTTTGAGCTGAAATTTGGTATGGACAAACTAGACTTGATGAGGAACATGCTCAAAAAATTTCATCAAAAAATTCCACCGGGAAGGTGCCCAAACGGGCTCGGCCGGACGGGGCAGCCCGTCAGGCCGGCCTGACATGAAGTTTCATCTATATATATATATATATATATATATATTCATAGATGAAAAATAAGAATTAATTTTGACCATTGATGTGAAAAATAGATGGATGAGATCATTTTTATGTGCAAAACACGAAAACGTTTTTGTAACTATGAGGAACTTTTAACAAAACTAAATGGTAAAAGTGAATCACGACATATAAAAATTGCATTAATTCATTACAGAAGTGTATGATCGAATTCAAAATATTGTACATATACTAAAAATCTGTGATTAGATTTTTTAACCATAAATCTTACACTTGTATACATACGCACTCCACTTTATAGAAGAAAAAGTTGCACATTGGAGTTTCAAATATCTACAATATTGAGACCAACCCGTATTCTTTAATGACAAAAAGTTCTAATTCAACCGGCCAAGGCGGCCATATATTTTCCATTAATCAAAATTCTAGATTCATTCTCATTATTCATGAGAAAACTTGTTTTAGTTTGAACCCAACTAACATGCATATGCAGTGAAACAAAATGTGGAAGCTAAAGATAAGTGAAGGAAAAGATCCATTGCTGAGCACAAGCAACAACTTCATTGGAAGGCAACACTGGGAGTTCGATCCCGAGGCCGGAACGCCGGAGGAGAGAGCTGAAGTTGAAAGGCTACGTTCCGAGTTCAAGAGGGACAGATTCAAAAGGCAGCAAAGTTCTGATCTACTAATGCGTTTGCAGGTAAATGTAAATCATCCAATCTATATTTTTTAGTGTCACAGGTCAAAAAGTCTAAATTATATAGTAACACAATTTAAGTCTTGAGAGTGACCTTTGGTCAAAATGACAAAGGAAGGCCAGTTAGTCGGGCTTCTTATACATTCTTATAGGGACCTTTCCCCGGACCCGCGTTTTGCGGGAACGCCAATGTGTACCAAGTTACTTTTTTTGGTCAAATTCTGTAGGGTGTTTGACAATCAGCGGTTGACGGTTAATTGATAGTTGACTGTATCAGTTGATTGATATAAGCAGATTTTATTAGCTATTTTGATTAGCCGCTATCATTAAACGAATTGAAGTCAACAGTCGAGTAACTTGACTCTTTACTATTATTTGTTGTTGCATAGTGATGAAAACGGTTAGCAACACAAGAGGGGGGTGAATTGTGTTCGTGTGGAACCGTGACAGTTTTTTGCCGAGTTCTAGTGTGGGATAAAGGGAATTGCGAAATAGTAAAGTGCACAAGAATTTAACGAGGAAAAATCCCTTGGCTCAAAGGGATTAAAAAACCTCGACCTCCCTCGGAGGAATTTTAACAACTTCACTAAAAGCCTTTGAATGATTACAAGGGAAACTCTCCTAGTCTACCCTTGAGCCACCCCAACTCTATCCTCTCTAGGAGGAGTTACGCTTCTCTACCTTGTGGGTAGAGAGCCTCTCAGCTTTACAACAAAGCTCTCACTCACACAAACCAACCCGAGGAGGCTACTCTTAGCCAATCCTCAAAACCCCATTACAATATGAAGAAGGGAAAGAAGAAACTCTATCTAGAACTCCGAGTGAGCAGTTTCAGGTGCCTTGAGCTTCGTATTTTTCTCGAGCCTGTCTCTTGATATTTCTCTGGTTAAGCATGCTTTAATTCTCTTTTGCTGCTTCGTTTATTAAGCAGACCGTTTGAGTAATCCTCCTTGAATAGTTGATCTCCTAATATTGAGACTTGCCTTGATATTTTGAATTACTTTCCTTCATAATATTCCTCAAATCCGAGCTTGATATATGTAAGCCAATCAAACACCCAAAATCTCAAGGTAACATATTAATCACGCACCAAGTGAATAAACAACTCAATCAAATCACGTGGGTTTAATTAAGGTGGGGATATTTCAAGCTTTTTGAATTTATTTCCAAATAAGGTAAGCTTTGATCAACTCTTTAAAAATCAGGGAATTTATTCTTATCAAAAGCAAGGATGCAACAGCCTATTTGCCATAATAGAATTTTCTTAAAAACACTTTCCTTTTCTAAGTGGATGCAATCATTAAAAATACTTTCCATAAAAGATATTAAATTAATCTTTTAATTAATGATGCACCTTTTCAAATTACAAAGGAGTGCAGATCATGCTACGGTCACCAAAGCACAAGTCAAGCAATCCTTAATTAATTTTGCAAGCCAAAAGTACTTTCCATAAAGTAAAAAGAGCAATTACCTTTTATAAGATTAGAAGCACAATTACGTACATATTAAAAGGCACTCATATTACTTTACATAAAGTAATATACCACTCAAATAAGCACTCATAAGGAAAGCACATTAATTTTGAATTAAGTAGGTGCAATCAATATTAATTCAAACCATATCACGGAACTAGAACTGGGGGCGGTTCTGTTCGCCGTTCCACCTGCATGGTTGGTTCATCAACAGGAAACTCACAAGTGTTTATAGACTAGGTCTATCCTTTGTTCCTGCATGGTTAGTCATCAACAAAACAACATATTCAACAAATTCCCCCTTTTTGTTGATGACAAACCTTAGGTGTCATAATAAAGGTGTCCCTAATTTTCCCCCTTTTGTCATTCAACAAAAGGAATAAAATTAATGCCCAAATTAAAATATCGATTTGTTCCCCCTTAGATGAGGCCGGAAGGTCCTGCATGCTTTCTTCGCAACTAGTAAAAGAGATTAGTTCCAGTGATTCCCATTATTTAGGAAATAAGAAGTAGAACAAATAATTTAGGAATTAATTAGGCCGAGTTCCAGTCTAATTAGTTCAAACCTTTCTCTTCCCAGAGGCTTGGTAAAGATATCAGCTATTTGTTTCTCGGTGTTGCAATATTCCAGCCTGATTATCCCCTTTTCCACGCAATCTCTCAGAAAGTGATGTCGTATATGAATATGTTTTGTCCGAGAATGCATGACCGGGTCCTTTGATATGCTAATTGCACTTGTATTATCGCATAGGATGGGCGTGCACTTTAAATCAACCCCGTAATCGCTTACTTGTTGCATGATCCACAATGATTGAGAGCAACAAGATGCGGCTGCTACATACTCAGCTTCGGCTGTTGAAAGAGCAACTGAATTTTGTTTCTTTGAGCTCCAAGAAACTAGACAGGGACCTAGGAAGTGAGCCGTTCCAGACGTACTCTTTCTATTTAGCAAATCACCTGCAAAATCAGAGTCTGAATATGCAATAAGGTTAAAATCATCATTACGAGGATACCATAAACATAGAGTAGTAGTTCCTTTGAGGTATTTGAGAATCCTCTTCACCGCTTTGAGATGGGACTCTTTGGGATTGGTCTGGAACCGTGCACATAGACCTACGCTGAAAACTATGTCGGGTCTACTGGCAGTTAGGTATAGTAGAGACCCAATCATTCCTCGATACATCTTTTGGTCTATGTTCTTTCCCTGTTCATCCGAGTCCAGCCTATCATTAGTCCCCATAGGTGTAGTCATGGTTTTGCCTTCACTCATCCCGTACTTCTTTAGGAGTTCCTTGAGATACTTTTGTTGAGATATTTGAGTTCCTTTACTTGTTTGCTTGATTTGTAGACCAAGGAAGAAGTTAAGTTCCCCCATCATACTCATCTCAAATTCGGAACTCATAAGATTTGAAAATTCTTCACAAAGGGAATTGTTAGTAGCACCAAAAATAATATCATCAACATAAACTTGAACAACCAATAGGGCTTGATTTTTTATTTTTAGAAAAAGAGTTATATCTATTTTTCCTCTTTCAAAACCATTTTCCAAAAGAAATTTAGATAGGCGTTCATACCAAGCACGAGGTGCTTGTTTGAGGCCATAAAGTGCTTTATCTAATTTGAAAACATGATTAGGAAAATCTTGATTTTCAAAGCCCGGTGGTTGTTCTACATATACCTCTTCCTTTAGATATCCATTCAAGAAGGCCGTCTTGACATCTATTTGGTGGAGGGTGAAACCCATATGAGCCGCAAATGCAATGAGCATTCGGATTGCTTCTAATCTAGCCACCGGTGCAAATGTTTCGTTGAAGTCTATTCCTTCTTGTTGGTTATAACCTTTGACAACAAGCCTAGCTTTGTTCCTTGTGATTTGACCATGTTCATCGAGCTTGTTCTTGAATACCCACTTGAGACCTATCACAGTCTTGTTCTTGGGTCTCGGTTCTAGATGCCACACCTTATTTCTTTCAAACTGATTTAGTTCTTCCTGCATGGATAGAACCCAGTCAGTGTCGGAGAGAGCCACTTCATGGTTCTCCGGTTCTATAAGAGATAAATAAGCAGAGAAAGCACAAAAGTTTTTAAGTTTAGATCTAGTTGTTACTCCCTGATTTAGATCGGTGAGGAGATTATCCAGCGGATGTGATCTATGAAGCTTCCAACCCCTAGGAGCGTTGGGTTGGTCCACCAAGTTGTTGAGAGTATCTGAAACTGGTTCTACCGGTTCTACAGGTCCAGTGTCAGTGTTCTGTCCAGGTTCTTCTTCAGTTCCAGATTGTTCATTTTCATTTGTTAGAGGTGGTTCACCAGTTTGATTGTCAGTTCCTTCATCTCCTTGAGATTGTGATTTCTTGTGAGTGATCCATAGCTCACCATCATCGGCTTGGATTGATTTTGGGGCAAGTGCTTCATCAAAGATTACATGAATGCTTTCCTCCACACATTGTGTGCGTTTGTTTAGAACTTTGTAGGCCTTGCTATGTGGGGAATATCCGAGAAAGATTGCCTCGTCACTTCTAGCATCAAATTTGCCGATGTTGTCTTTCCCATTGTTGTGGACGAAACATTTGCACCCAAAAGTTCTTAGATGACTTAAGTTGGACTTCCTCCCCTTGAGCAGTTCGTAGGGTGTTTTCCCTAGGAGTGGACGTATCATGGCTCGATTAATGATGTAGCATGCTGTGTTTAGAGCCTCTGCCCAAAAACTCCTAGCTAGACCGCTGGAAATAAGCATAGTTCTAGTCATGTCCTCCAGAGTTCTATTCTTCCGTTCTACCACTCCGTTCTGTTGTGGAGTTCTAGGTGCGGAGAAGTTGTGGTCTATCCCTCGTTCTTTGCAGAAGGCATCGAAGAGAGAATTGTCAAACTCAGTTCCATGATCCGATCGGATCTTGATTAGTTGTAGACCTGTTTGATGCTCAATTTTCCTTACAAAAATAGCAAACTCATTAAAAGTATCTTTCTTGCTAGCAAGAAAGATAGTCCATGTAAATCTTGAAAAGTCATCAACGATAACTAGAACATATTCTTTATTTCCTCGGCTACGGACTGACATTGGACCACACAAGTCCATGTGAATTAGTTCTATGGGCTTGCTTGTGCTCACCAAATTCTTCGTTTTAAAGGATGATCGAGATTGTTTTCCGGTGGCACAAGCCGAGCAAACATGGTCAAGTGAAAATTTCATATTGGGCAGTCTAATGACTAAATCATTATTTTTAAGTTTATTTATTGGTGAAAAACTAGCGTGTCCAAGCCTTTTATGCCATAGCAAAGGATCGTTATCAACAACGCTCAAACAAGTCATACTAATATTAGGTAAAGAATCAAGATCTACTTTATATGTATTTTCGAGCCTCTTGCCTTCAAGTATAACTTGTTGTGATTCGTTGTTAACAATGCGACAAACGTTATGGTCAAAAACAACACTATTACCTCGATCGCAAAATTGAGAAATACTTAGTAAATTAAATCTCAAACCCTTGACTAAAAAGACATTGTCAATTGCATGGTTAGGTGATTTTCCAACTTTGCCCACGGCTATAATCTCTCCTTTGCCGTTGTCTCCAAATGTCACCTTCCCACCGTTAAATGGCCGTAGTGAGAGGAATAAAGATTTGTCTCCCGTCATGTGCTTAGAACAACCACTGTCAAGGAACCAGTGATTGTTCCCCCTCACTCGGCGCTGTTCCAGGATCAAGGGTTAGCGCGTGGAACCCAGACTTGCTTGGGTTCCATTTCGTATTTGTTTGAGGAATATCTAACATGATCATAACATCTTTCTAAAGTCTTTTGCCGAGAGTGACATTGATACCGTAGATGACCGATTTTGCCACAATGCATGCAAACTCGGTTGTCATAAGTGTCAACGTATTTAGGTTTCCATTTACCATAGAAGCTTCTTGTTCTTTTATGAAAAGTTCGGTTAGGCGTTTGTCCATAACCGTTTTTGTGCCTCTGAACCAGTCTATCGAACCAGTTTGGTCCAGTTCTAGGTGGCTGTTGATATGGTCTAGAACTGGGTTGTCCTCGGGTTCTATTGCCCTTAAAGGGTTGGTTCTGAAAATTTGATTTTTGATTAGATCGAATATCCCTTAGAATATATCCGAGACCTGCAGTCTCGTTTACTTTCTTATTGTGCTGAGAAGGACCAGTTCCAGAATGATGTCTAGACTTGGTTTTGTTCGTTGCACTATAGGATTGATATTCCGGTCTATTTTTAAAATCAGTGCACTTGGCAACAAGACGATGAAGATGATCAATTAAAGTACCAACGCTCGGAATTTTTGAAAGAAGTTTTTCATCATGATTAACTTGTTTGTTCATACTATCGAGCTTAAGAGAGCAAATGATTTGATCTTGTTCTAAAACCACTTCACTATACTTAAGCCTTTCATCTATTAACTCTCCCACTTTTGTTTCAAGCCTTATCTTGGCTCTCGTGGCTTCCTCGAGTTTAGACTCAAGCTCAGTGATTTGTGATTTAAGATGATCATTTTCAGAAAGGTTTTGATTAAGCTCAATAGTCAATCTTTTGAAAATTTTCCGAGCTTTGGTTTTGGATAGAGAGTCAAACTTAGATAGAAAATTTTCAAGGTTTACCTCAAAGCTCTCTTGGTCGGATTCCTCGTCAGAATGAGCCATAAGACATAGACCCGCATGGTTGGTGTTCTTATCATTTTCCTCTTCTTCATCATCAGAAGAATCTCCCCATGCTGCCATCATGGCCTTTTTGAGATCTCTCTTGAACCCTTTGTCTTCGCTGAACCTCCGGTTGGAACTAAACTTGTTCTTGTCGCAGTTCCGGTCATTTTTCTTTTGTGAACAGTCTTTAGCCCTGTGCTCAAAGGAACCACAAACAAAACAACCTTGGTTATTAAAGGATTGAGTATTCCTTTTACCTAGTTTGGTACGGTTGTTCTTGAATTTTCGGTACATCCTCCCAAATTGTTTTGCAAACGTGCTCATCTCATCATCCGATTCACTTTCGGATTCTTCTTCTTCTTCTTCTCGAGCCTTTAGAGCTATTCCTCTTTCTCGTCTAGCATTCTCGGCATCTTGTTCTTCTTGAAGACCCAGTTCATATGTCAAGAGTGATCCAGTCAAGTCTTCAAGCGTCATGGTGGATAGATCTTTTGCTTCTTCAATAGCCGTGGTCTTAGACTTCCACACTTGGGGCAGGCTTCTCAAAATCTTTCTCACTTGATCTTCCACTGTAATTTCTCTTCCAAGGGCTGAAAGCTCATTGATAATGTTAGTAAAGCGTGTAATCATATCCTTAATTGACTCTTTTGGCTTCATTACGAATAATTCGTAATTACGCATGAATATGTCAATCTTAGATTTTTTTACACGTGAGGTTCCCTCATGAGTGACCTCGAGCAAATCCCACATTTGTTTTGCAGTCTTGCATCCTAGAACCCGATTGTGTTCGGCAGGACCAAGACCGCAAATTAGATATTTAAGGGCTTGGGCATTATGCTCGAGTTTCTCATAATCTTCAGAAGTATATTCAACTTTAGGTTTAGGAACAACATTACCTTCGGCGTTTCTCTTTGTGATGATATTATCACCACTTTCAATTACATTCCAAACCTGGTAGTTATCGGCCTTGATAAAGTTTTCCATCCAACTCTTCCAAAATTGATAGTATTTGCCATTGAACAATGGTGGTCGTTGGGTCGAGTACCCTTCTTCCAATCAGTCAACCGTATTCATTTTGCCGGATCTCTTCCCAAGGTATTAGCCTTTATGTGGTGAAGACCGGCTCTGATACCAATTGATGAAAACGGTTAGCAACACAAGAGGGGGGGGGGGGGGGGGTGAATTGTGTTCGTGTAGAACCGTGGCAGTTTTTCGCCGAGTTCTAGTGTGGGATAAAGGGAATTGCGAAATAGTAAAGTGCACAAGAATTTAACGAGGAAAAATCCCTTGGCTCAAAGGGATTAAAAAACCTCGACCTCCCTCGGAGGAATTTTAACAACTTCACTAAAAGCCTTTGAATGATTACAAGGGAAACTCTCCTAGTCTACCCTTGAGCCACCCCAACTCTATCCTCTCTAGGAAGCGTTACGCTTCTCTACCTTGTGGGTAGAGAGCCTCTCAGCTTTACAACAAAGCTCTCACTCACACAAACCAACCCGAGGAGGCTACTCTTAGCCAATTCTCAAAACCCCATTACAATATGAAGAAGGGAAAGAAGAAACTCTATCTAGAACTCCGAGTGAGCAGTTTCAGGTGCCTTGAGCTTCGTATTTTTCTCGAGCCTGTCTCTTGATATTTCTCTGGTTAAGCACGCTTTAATTCTCTTTTGCTGCTTCGTTTATTAAGCAGACCGTTTGAGTAATCCTCCTTGAATAGTTGATCTCCTAATCTTGAGACTTGCCTTGATATTTTGAATTACTTTCCTTCATAATATTCCTCAAATCCGAGCTTGATATATGTAAGCCAATCAAACACCCAAAATCTCAAGGTAACATATTAATCACGCACCAAGTGAATAAACAACTCAATCAAATCACGTGGGTTTAATTAAGGTGGGGATATTTCAAGCTTTTTGAATTTATTTCCAAATAAGGTAAGCTTTGATCAACTCTTTAAAAATCAGGGAATTTATTCGTATCAAAAGCAAGGATGCAACGGCCTATTTGCCATAATAGAATTTTCTTAAAAACACTTTCCTTTTCTAAGTGGATGCAATCATTAAAAATCCTTTCCATAAAAGATATTAAATTAATCTTTTAATTAATGATGCACCTTTTCAAATTACAAAGGAGTGCAGATCATGCTACGGTCACCAAAGCACAAGTCAAGCAATCCTTAATTAATTTTGCAAGCCAAAAGTACTTTCCATAAAGTAAAAATAGCAATTACCTTTTATAAGATTAGAAGCACAATTACGTACATATTAAAAGGCACTCATATTACTTTACATAAAGTAATATACCACTCAAATAAGCACTCATAAGGAAAGCACATTAATTTTGAATTAAGTAGGTGCAATCAATATTAATTCAAACCATATCACGGAACTAGAACTGGGGGCGGTTCTGTTCGCCGTTCCACCTGCATGGTTGGTTCATCAACAGGAAACTCACAAGTGTTTATAGACTAGGTCTATCCTTTGTTCCTGCATGGTTAGTCATCAACAAAACAACATATTCAACACATAGAATGATCATTACAGGTTGACATTTAAATTAAGAACATATATATGCTATAATATATAGTTAGAATTTGATCCAAAAAATGATAAAATAGAAACAATATATATGTAATATGATCATTATTTAAAATGTATTGCAGTTTAAGAAGGAGAATGGATGTGGTTACATTCCAGCAGCCATAAAGATAAAAGACGAAGAGGTTGTTAGTGAGAAAGCAATCACAACAACACTTAGAAGAGCATTAACCTTCTACTCAATGCTTCAAGCTAAAGATGGTCATTGGCCCGCAGAGTCCGCAGGCTCATGTTTTTTCCTTCCTCCTTTAGTGAGTTCAAATATCATAATATATGATTACATACATACAATAGAACCATTGCATTCTTGGCACACTGGCTGTGTACACATGCATTTTGGCATAAAATCCCACCCTTTTCAAATGAATTGCATGTGAATACAAGCAATTATGAGAGTTGTGTACATTTTGTGTACTAATTTTATGTACACCTGGTATTTTTGTATAGAATATGGTACTTCCCACCTATAAGAGTTTCTACGGTGTGTCATGTCTCTGATTACGTTCGTATCACGTAGGCAACCGCCGTGCAATCCAACACAATTCATTTAGGAAACTGGGAGAGTATATTAAGAAAAGATGTACCAATTAAACTCCAATCAATTTAGGGAAATCATATTATTATGATTCATGCAGGTTCTGGCATTGTATGTGACGGGATCAATGAATAGAGTATTAACCTCAGAGCACAGAAAAGAGATGATTCGCTATTTGTACAATCATCAGGTAGCTATATACTTCGTACTTCGTATGTGCTAAATCATGTTGAAGTTTAATTATATCTTATCAAATTATGTTGCACCAATCATATATTAATCTATAAATAATGTAATTAGAAATTGTCCTATATGTGAGTAAAACATAGCTAGACATTTCTTTTTCAATAAATGGGACTGCAAATGGCTGTATCAAACTATGATCTCTCTTGAAGTCCTACACTGATAAATTAAGAAGTAATAAAATGTTATATTAAAATCTTGAGCTACTTCTCTTTTCAATGTTGATTTTTAGAATGGAATCTCAAATCTTATAAATTAACAATCTCATATAATAATTCGATTACAAAATTATCGTATTTTCTCCTATTTACAGAGGAAAATTTCTCTTATTTATAGAGAAAACCACACGTTTTAATTTGCTCCCTTTGTATAAAAGAGTTTAGATAATTTTATTGATCATGCTAACTTTGTATGACGAAACACCCATTCTTCATCAATAGTGGTGTGAAAGCCTATTATTGCATCAAACTACCATTTGATGATGATAATTAAGTCTCAATTAATTGTCACACATACTACAAAACTGGTTTGCTCGCTACACATTATTTTTCAAAGTTGATGATCCTTAAATTTTAATAACTTTCCCCACTTTTTATTTCCTAAAATAATGCCCTAACAAATTAAATATTCTACACGTATTATTATGTTTTATTTTGTAATTATAAGAATGAAGATGGAGGTTGGGGGCTACACATTGAGGGTAATAGCACCATGTTTGGTTCTGGAATAAGTTACGTGGCTCTAAGATTGCTAGGGGAAGGGCCAGAGGATGGAGAAGATATGGCAATGGCTAGAGGAAGGAAGTGGATTCTTGACCATGGTGGTGTCATCAACATTCCTTCTTGGGGCAAATTCTGGTTATGTGTGAGCACCTATCTATATCATCTTTTTCAGTTGGAAAAACTATCAATTTGATCATTGGAAAATGTTAATTAAGTCCCTGTACTTTTTAAAAAATCAATCAAATCTCAAAACCTTGAAAAAAAGTTCAATTGAATTCATTAGCAGGTTACCCATCACATCACCAATTGACCCGTTGACGTGGCACACATGTGACAGTCCATCAGCATTGACTTTGCTGACGTGGCACACACGTGGAAGCCCAACCTGCCATATCTCAGTGATGTGGCACACATGGGGACCGTCGCATATGTGCCAACTAAGCGGTTGACCTGTTGACATGATAAGCAATCTGCTAATTGTCTCAATTGAACGTCTTTTCAAAGTTCGGGGAGTCAATTAATTTTTTTCAAAGTAAGAGGACCTAATTAACGTTTACGTGATAGTACGAGGAGCAAACTGACAATTTTCCTTTCTGATTTTATCATTGTTGTTTGTTATTATTATGATTATTACTATCTTCCTCTAATTTTATGTGTCCTACTTTGATTTGAAATAATTATTTATAAAGCGGTTAAAAACAAAGTTTGTGATTGAGATTTGAATATTATAGAATGAAATGTTGTAGATCTCATATTTTATTGGAGATATTTTTGGGAGATATTTTTGGGATTAAATATTTTATTTTAGCTAGAATATTATCTCATTATGACTTACTTTATTTAGCCTATTTTTTAGGTGACCGATCCAAATTGATCGGCATCACCCATGTATTTAATCAGCCGATTGGCTCTTGTTTATACACAGAAAAACATCCTTCTCTATACCTCTTTTATTCCATACGTATACTCTTTTAATATGGTATCAGAGCCTCGTATTGGCAACTAGATTTCCGCAGCCATGCCGACGGCCGAAGAAGGATCAACGGCGGCAACAAAGATTGACTACACATCCCCATATTTTCTGGGTCCTCAAGATAGGCCGGGTGATTTTATCACTCCGGTTCGTCTGACGAATACCAACTACGAAGAATGGGCCAACGCGGTGCGACTGGCACTCCGAGCAAGGCGTAAATATATCTTTGTTGACGGAACGTTAAAAAAAACCGACACCTCCTTGCACCGAGGAGGAATGGCTGGTTAATCACTCAATGATCGTCTCTTGGTTGTTGAATGTGATATCTCCGGAAGTCAAGGGGACTTTGTCACATTATGATGATGCCCTGCGACTATGGACTGACTTGAAAGAGAGGTTTGGGTCTGTTGATGGCCCGAAAATACACCAAGTGAAAACAGATTTGGCACGGTGTTCTCAAACGAGAGGGATGCCGGTCGGTACCTATTACGCAAAGTTGCAAACTTTGTGGGACGAATTGAACAACTATGAGCCTTTGATTCGGTGTAAGTGCAACGGGTGCACTTGTGATGTACTCGGTCAGCATGAAAAGAGGAGGGAGTCGGAACGCCTCCATCAATTTTTGATGGGAATCTATACGGAATTTTTTGGAGGTGTACGATCTCAATTGTTAACACAAACTGATCTGCCAACTCTCAACCGGGCTTACCAACAGATGACTCAAGAAGAACGGGTTAGAGGAATTGTGCAGGCACAGGAAGAACGGCCTGAAGTTCTGGGTTTTGCGGTTCGAGCTGAAAACAAGGGTGCAGGCCGAGGGATCAAGGTGGATAAAACCGGATTAACTTGCACATATTGTAAGTATTCGGGACATGAGGTAACCAATTGCTTTGAACTTAATGGCTATCCGGATTGGTGGGGAGATAGGCCTCGCTTGGGAATAAAAAACGGGGGGCGTGGTCGTTCTACTCCTACTGGAGCGGCTGGAGCAGGACGAGGGAGAGCAACTGCAAAAGCCCATGCTGCTGTCACTGAAATTGTGCCTAAACCGAGCCCAAAACAGGCTGAAGGAAGTAGCGGGCAGACTGCTCCACTCCCGGGATTCACGGCCGAACAATGGAACTCGCTTCTCTCCGTGATTGGTAACTCCTTTTCTACTAACGAACGCATGGCCGGTAAGTTTAATGATAATGCCTGGATTATTGATACTGGTGCTACCAATCATGTGTGTGGAAATCAAACTTTATTATGCCATATTAAAAATGTTGAACCATGCACTGTTGGTCTGCTAGACGGACAAACTGTTTTAGCCACATTGGAGGGAAGTGTGCGTTTTACGGATGATTTATACTTGAATAATGTGCTATTTGTTCCGCAATTGAAGTGTAATCTTATCTCGATATCTCAATTGAGCGATAAATTGAATTGTTTCGTCCAATTCACAAGTAATTTGTGCGTTATACAGGACCGTCCCTCGAGGAGGCTGATTGGAACGGGTGAACGGGTGAATGGACTGTACTACCTGCAAGAGGGAATAACAGCACATGTGTTGACAGTTACAGATTCGAAGAATAAAGTGGCGGAATTATGGCATCAACGAATGGGACATCCTGCTTCTCATATTGTTGAAAAATTGGCTCCCGTAAGTGGATTGAAAAATTTTGGAAATTTTCCCTGTGATATTTGTTTTAGAGCTAAGCAGACAAGAGACCCATTTCCTTCTAGTTTAAATAAAACTCATGACATTTTTGAGATGATACATTGTGATTTGTGGGGTCCATATAATACCCCTTCTTCTTGTGGAGCTAGATATTTTTTGACAATTGTTGATGATTATTCACGTGCTGTGTGGGTTTATCTGCTTGTTGATAAGAGGGAAGTTCTCAAAATGTTCCTCTCATTCACTGCCATGGTAGACCGCCAATTTTCTAAGAAAATAATGCTCGTACGAAGTGATAATGGGACAGAGTTTAATTGTTTGCATGATTTTTTCCACACTAGTGGCATTATATTTCAAACCTCTTGTGTTGGGACCCCTCAACAAAATGGGCGTGTAGAACGCAAGCACCGCCACATTTTAAATGTTGCTCGTGCTTTGAGATTTCAGGGAAGTTTGCCTATTTCTTTTTGGGGAGAATGCATATTAACTGCCTCTTATCTAATCAATCGGACACCATCTGCTATTCATGAGTATAAAACACCATACGAGATATTATTTGGAGAGCTTCCGTGTTATAAATCTTTACGTGTCTTTGGATGTTTATGCTATGCTTTTAATATGAAATCGAAGGGAGACAAATTTGCAAGTCGTAGCAGAAAGTGTGTCTTTGTGGGGTATGTCTTTGGGAAGAAATTTGCACCTATTTTTTAGGTGACCGATCCAAATTGATCGGCATCACCCATGTATTTAATCAGCCGATTGGCTCTTGTTTATACACAGAAAAACATCCTTCTCTATACCTCTTTTATTCCATACGTATACTCTTTTAATATATTTCTTTCAAAATAAGTAATGTGACACTTACTGTGTGACAACCCCAAAAGAGAAATAGGACAAGTAAAATATAACGGATGGAGTGTTAGTTTAATATTTTTTATTAATTAAATTATTATTGTCATATATTATTATACTTATTGTTGTGTTATAGGTACTGGGGATATACGAGTGGGATGGTTGTAATCCATTACCTCCAGAAATGTTGCTTCTTCCCAAAATTTTCCCTATCCACCCAGGTAATTAAGATAAACAATCCACAATGTAATTTCTTCAACCAATGATAGTGACTACTGAGCCAATCGTCACTAATTAAGAAATACTCCTTTTTTTTTGTTCCAAACTTAATAATTTGTGTGCGTATTTATGTTATTAGGAAATTTTATGTCATATAGCCGCCTCACATTCATTCCGATGGCGTATTTATACGGAAAGAGGTTCGTGGGGCCGGAAACGGAAGTGGTTCGCTCTCTAAGACAAGAAATCTATACTCATCCCTACCACCGGATTCATTGGAATAGCCTCCGTTTCCTCTGTGCTAAGGTACATTATGTGATTAAGTGTGTGTCTGCAATTGCTTCAATTTTAAAAAAGTGATTTTTTAAAGTTATTTTGGGAAAAGTGATTAATAGTAAAAGTTGGTAATGTTTGAGAAAAAAGTGATTCTGAAAAAGTAAAAGTTGGTAGTGTTTAAGAAAATAAGTACCTTTTGTGTAATATAAAAAGTGAGAAGCAGTTTAAAACACCCTTCTACCTGCTTCCAGCTTTTAGCTTTTAAGTGATTAATTTAAGCAGAACCTGTCATTTGAAAACACTCTTTTCAACTTTTTTAAGCCAAAAACCGAAAAGCGCTTTTTTAAGTAACCCCAAACACTCCTTAAGGGCCTGTTTGGATGGAGTGTTTGGAAGTGTTAGTAATGGAAGTGTTAGTAAGTGTTAGTAAGGGCTCGGAAGGGAAGGGAAGTGTAAGTGTTAGACATAATTTTACCTTGTTTGGGAGAGTCAAATAAATGAAGTGTTAATAATGGAAGTGTTAAAGAAAGAGTAAAGAAAGAGTAAAGAAAGAGTAAAGAGAAGAGATGAAAAAACAAACCATCAGACCCGTGGGAAAGACATTCGAAGTGAAATGTCGAAGCATTTTATGTTTTTCGGGCAAATGAGAAGAGTAATAATTGTCCAACACCTCAAAACACTCCAAATCGGGGTGTTAAAAAAATGGACAATTGAGGTGTTGGGAAGGTTATTATTAACACTTCCTAACCATTACTAACACTTCTTAACACCTCTGGTTTTTTCTCCCAAACAAGTGTTAGCATCAATACTTACTAACACTTCCATTACTAACACTCCTCAACACTCAATCCAAACAGGCCGTAAGTTGCTCATATCTCATGCATCGTAATGTTCACAAATAATAGTGACAATAATTACATACCGAGTAGTACTCATATACTACTCCATAATATACTTCCTCCGTTCCTTTTTAATTGCAACAGTCAACATTTCACGTTTGCCAACGCACAAGTTTGACCATTAATATCTTTCATTCCGTATTAGTAAAAAATTTAAAAAAATCATATTTTGAAAATTTAGAATGAGAAGAATGTAACAATTTTTTTTTTAAATTTAATTTATAATACATAAATAAATAAAATGTAGTCAAAGTAGAATATGCGAATAGTGCAAAAAGTCCAATGTTGCAACTAAAAGAGAACGGAGGTAGTATTACGTAGTATATCAACTTTTACAATTATGATCCCAATGCCGTAAAGACTATCTCAACCTTAGCTACGATAGGATAAGGAGGGGTCGGATGCAGGGGCGGATCCAGGAATCTTAGATGCCCTGGGCTGAATAGAAATTATACTAGACTTAAATATTAAAGGGGTGGGCTAAATGCGAAAAATGAAAAAATTTACACTAAAAAAATTGAAAAAATTCTAAGTTGCCCTGGGCTTCAGCCTACCATAGCCTATACATAGATCCTCCCCTGGTCGGATGTACGCGGTCGACAGTCTTACTCCTGCATTAAAGCACAAATAGACTGTTTTTGGATGACTCATCATGGACTCAGGGGTGGAGACAAGGGGAGGTTGGCGGTGGCCTCGGGCCCTCGGCCCCTGCAAGGAAAAAATTTGTGATGTATATATATAAATATTTATAAGTAGTAAAAAATATAATGAAAATTTAAGTTTTGGGTCATGCTATATAAATTCCTTAAGCCCCGGCCCCTTTAATCTGTCAATCCTGACTCCGCCACTACCCATAGTGAAAATGACGTCCAAAATTGTATGGACTAACTGCTGTTTCATTACAAAAAAACATATATAGCCAGCTTAGTGAACCATTTTGATTTATTTCATCATATTTTCAAGCCACAAAATAGTGAATTTTTGGCTCCATTGCAAATGATGGAAAATAACTTTTACCACTACGTATTAAACAATATTTCTATAAAATTTAAAGCATCACTTTTTAAAATAGAAGCATTTTGACAAAAAAAATAGAAGCAACCACGGATATTCTCTTAGTAGTTAGTACGTACGTATTGCTACCGCCTACCAGGCCACCGGCTGTGGTACGGATACTCTAAATTAGTCTATTTCGAAAGATATAATAACATAAATATACGAATATATATAGTATTACGTAAATGACTAAAATAACCATTATGAATAACAATGTGATACTTTATAAAAAGTGACTACTATGTATATTGTTAATTTCTAGTTACACAATCGTGATCATGAAGTTTTTCATACAGAATTGTCTATAATAGTATCATTTTAATAATATTTTATGAATACTCCATATAATGTTTCAATCTAAGAATATTTTTAATTGGATTAATTTTTTTGATCTACTTTGATTTGATTTTATCTGGTCTATTTAAATCTGGTTCAAATTAATCTTATCTATATGTGATCTATGTGTACTTTACAACTGTCAAAGTTTAGTGAGGTCTAACATATTTGGTATAGTCACAGTTTGATATGTTATGGTCTTGTTTAGGATTGAAGCTACCAATGAACTCTTAAAACGTTATTCTTTCTGCAACAAAAACATTTCACATTACAATTTACAAGCGTACTTTGTTCTTTAAGTAAGACTAAATAGATAAGTAAATCATACGTAGTATGCCAGTATGGTATGAATATAAACTTAAGGGCCGTTCTTGGTGTACACAAGATTACACAAAATGCGTACATTGCTCGTGTACATGCAATTAGGGGGATTTTAGTATCCAATATAATTATGCTCCTTTTAAACGAATTGTCTGTCTACACAGACAAGTAGAACGATTTTGTGTATAATTTGTGTATAACTCATTTTTCTAAACTTTATATCTTATTCATGTTTTATTATACTTATTTTACCATTTTAAGTACCTTCTTTTGACAACTCTTTTTAGGAAGATGTTAATTACCCGCCCAACGCAATGCCGTATTATATGTACGGGTTTATACAAAACTTTGTTGAGCCTGTCCTAAAGATTTGGCCATTTTCAATTGTGAGAGAGAAAGCCCTCAAGCGGGCATTGGACCAGATTCATTATGAGGACCAATGCTCCCATTACATGGACATTGGCATTACCGTAAAGGTAACCAAATTTAAATTACTCCAAAGTTTATTACCATATTTTTTATTTTGTGTATCATACGTAGTACAATATTTATTTAATTTTATAACTTCTTATATATGTCTCCTTTTTCGTAGAAATTAAATAATATTATGCGTTAGTGTTTAATTACCTTTGAAGGCAGCGGCCATTGTTGCTTGTTGGGATGAGGATCCAAATTCAGAGGCATTCAGAAGGCATCTTGCTCGTCTCCCGGATTACTTCTGGGTAGCAGAAGATGGCATGAAAGTGCAGGTTATAAACTACTTGTGTTTATGGGGTGTTTGGAATTGATTCTGCTTCCACTTTTTTCTAACACCAGAAGCAGAATCAGAATCACTTTTTCGGAAGTAGGTCTAGTTTGGATTCTAAGAAACTGCTTCTATGAACAATTTAGAGCACATAAAGTATTTCTACACTTTCCATTCAAACATTCCAATAGATGTTTTTACTCGCTTAGCAGAAACAGTTCTAAAAAAATAAATCCAAACACCTCCTATGTGCAAAATCTATAATGTGTTCAAATTGAATTAGATCAAGTTTATGTGTTAATTTTTTTCCACCCACATCAATTTTTTTTGTTACTCATGTCACTACTATATGTTTAATTTGGATTGATGATGCAGAGCTTTGGAAGCCAAACGTGGGACTTATCTTTCAGCATTCGAGCCATTCTTTCAAGTAATCTATATGAAGAGTATTGGCCAACACTTAAAAAGGCACACCAATTCTTAAAAGCTTCTCAGGTTCAAATTATACTATGTATTTAATGAACTCTTTTACTTTTGTTGCGTTATTACTTCATCATAATTCATAATTATACCAAATGTTTATAAAATGCCACTTTTTCGTCCAATATCATTATGTTAGTACTTGTTTATAAAAAATTGCTAACTCGGGATTTCAATTATTGCCTAAATTTCAAGTAGTGCTATCAATGGATCGATCCATGCTAGCAAAATTGCAATGTATGGTAGAACATACTAAATAACACTCCATACATATACTAAAGGGAAAACTATCAATTAAGTCAATTAAGTCCTTCTATAGGAGACTCTGTCCGGTCGTCGCGATTTGGGGCGGTTCCCGGTGGAATTTTTTGATGAAATTTTTTGAGCATCTTATTCATCAAGTCTAGTTTACTCATACCAAATTTCAGCTAAAAATTTAATCGGGAGCGCATTCAAATTAATTCGAGAACGCAAAAATGCGCAGTTATCTTCAAGAATTATTCTGAATGTGTTCCTGATTGAATTTTTAGCAGAAATTTGGTATGCGTAAACTAGACTTGGTGAATAAGATGCTCAAAAAATTTCATCAAAAAGTTCCACCGGGAACTGCCCCAAATCGCGACGGCCGGACAGAACATCCTATAGGACTTAATTGAACTTTGTATTAAAGTTCGAGAACCTATTTGACAGTTTATCCTATACTAAATGATTATGTGTTTGAGTTTTTTGGCTTCAAAAAATTAAGACACAATATTATTATACACTACAAAAAATAACGATATTCGCGTGCCTTAGGATAGATGGATCAAATTTGTCACGGATTTTGGCACGTACATATGTGACATATCCATGTCAAATCCGCTATGAATTTAGACGAATAAGTGCCAAAGATTCCTACCAAATCCGTGTCAATATCGTTTTTTTACGGTGATATTTTGTACGAGCTGAGTTTCTACATGTACATTTCGTAAAGTTTTATCTGATCTCTATATACATTTCTTGATGTGAACATTTTAGGTTTCATCCAATCTTCCTGGAAATTTTGAAGAAATGTATAGGCACCCCAACAAAGGATCTTGGACATTCTCAACGCAAGATCATGGTTGGCAGGTCTCAGACTGCACAGCGGAAGCACTTTTGGTAAGCACATTAGTGCATTCCATTATTATACATGGTGGATTATAGTATTATATGTTATATGTTGGGTGTGTTTCGGAAAATAAAGAAAATTAATTAAAATAAATTAATTAAATAAATGACTAACGAAAAACAAGAAATGAGATAATAAAGCAGAATATAGTCAAAGCTCGTACAACGCATGATTTCCTTAAAACGTATTTGTTGCCTCCCGTGGTGCTAGGAGCGTTGCAAGAATCGTTTCCCAGGATACGATGACTAACGAACAACCGTTTAAGCACTTAAACAATTGTTCCGGCGAACTGGAACAAAGGTTGAACACAGAGGAATTTTTCTGGAATGCTAGAGGTGTTTTTAGCTCTGAAATACGTGAAGGAAGTGTATTGTGCGTTGTGTCTTGTTGCAAACCACCTGCAGCCATTTATAGGGAAGATTTGTTGTGTGTTAATGGATATGAACGTTGGTAATCAATGTCCAGCTTGTTGGCATTGATTTGTCCAGAAAACCGTCCATTTATTGCAAAGGAACGTTGGACATTTATGGTGTTGTAACGTCCCAGCAGTAGCCTACTGCGGGCGTTCACAACACTGCATAGAGTAGTAGCCTGCAGTGCAGCCTACTGCCGGGAGCAGCTCGCCCGCGCACGCAAGTCGGGCGACATTCGTGTTCGCAGGTCTTCCGCGCACGCAAGTCGGACTTTTTGTTCTCCGGTTTCGGGATTTGATCCGACCCAAATTGGAAGTGCACCCCACTCAAAAAATTGCCTCAAAATGACCATTTTATGCAATTTAAGCTAGTACTACATAAGTACTTTTTTATTTATTAAGTGGATATTTTTAGTATGTTAAATCTGACCATTTTGACTTCACGTTTTTCTATGCTCACATTTTATTTATGTTTAAAATAAATAAATATAAATGTTATAAATCTGTAGTTTATGTTTGAAAATGTTTATTTGATCCATTTGGATTTTATATACGGAGTATACCATACTACGTATTAATTAGGCCTCCAAGTTTGTATGTAAAAATTTGGCCTACTTCACATTCGCATTAGATAAGGCTCGTTTATGAGGAGACCAAACTAGAAATTTTGCATTTTACTATTTGGTTAATACACCATAAACTGCTCCCTATAATTTGTTATTTGTAGAACAAATTTAAGCTTTTAATTTATATAGTTATTTAATTGTTTTTTAATGAATTTGTTTAATTTTATGTTTTAACTTTATGTGCCAGGCTGCGCTTAAGTTATCTCAGATGCCTACAGAGGTCGTTGGTGAGCAAATTGAGACACAACGCTTACACGACGCTGTAAATATTATATTGTCTCTCCAGGTAATTAATATCTCCAGGTACTTAATAATGATTTCTGATCTAATTGATTCTTAATATCATGTGGATTAACTTCTTTCAATATTCATGCATTAATTTTGGGGTAATTTGAGTTTGCACTCCATTTTATTGTCCAAATTGGACTTTGCACTGTGTTCTTTTTATAGAAATCTTTGTTTTGCACCCCAACCTCATATGAAAAGACAAAAACGAGGTGCAAAGTCCAATTTGGACAATAAAATGTAGTGCAAAATCAAATTACCCCTTAATTTTTATCAAAATGGGCCTTTCCATAAATATTAAAGTATGGAAGTATTTCCAGTAAAAAAACATGTATGAATCAAGAATTTCATATATTTTTCCTAAGTTAGGATAATTTCTTACTCTATAAACTATATATGAATACATGTGCCGGTTTTAAAATATTACGGGAGGCTTACCTAATGAATTGAATTTCGAAACCAAGACTGTATATATACTAAATATGTTCTATTTACGTTGAAAGCGTATACCATAAAATTTTATGAATACTTATTATTAGAAAAATTAATTCATATATACTTTGAAAATGATCTGATGTTGTTTTGACAAAAAATGCTAAAGGTAAAACTACAGCCCTAAAATGCTAAAAATGTTTATCAATTGTGGCAGGTCAATTAGACAAAGTAATAAGTTCACAAAGAACATGAAGAATTATTGAGAAATTATTCGTTTTTCAAACTTCAAGCTCATATAATTGTGTTAGGTATTTTCAAGTTCAAGGGTACTTCGGGGCTGGATAGCTTCAACTTTTTCTTGATTTATTATGAAAATAATTATCTTATTTAATTCTCTTTTCTTCAAGTTAGTAACTTCTTTGGCTAATTTGCTTTTTCAAGAAAAAAGAAATGCTCTTCCAAAAAAAATGCAATTCTCCAACGATAAGTGAAAATTGAAAGCAACTCCACAAAATCGTTGAAATTTCCTCTTAACATTAGGATGTTTTCTTTTGGACTGGAATTTGCTAGTCTGGTCTGATAAATGTCTGGTCTCTGTGTATTTTATAACAGCGAAAATCAAGTCTGATCTGGTCTAAAACTGAAAACAGTCTAAAAGAAAACATCCTTAATGAACTAATAAAAAAGTACCCCATATATACTTCGTATATAGTATGATACACGTCCCAAGTGATCATGATTTCGATTTTCGACTAATTTGTTACGGAGTATTTGAATTGAAATATATACCTAGTACTCCCTCCGTTCTTTAATATAAGTCCTCTTAGGCTTTGGCACGGGTTTTAAGAGGAAAATAGTAGGGGTAGTGTAAAAGGTGTAATGAGTAGTGGGTAAATGAAAAAGTAGGAAAGAGAAAGAGGTAATGGTAATAAAAGTGAGGGTATAAAGGTATATTTAAAGTAAAAACTTTCCTTAAATGGAAAGGAGGACAGATAAAAAAAACGTCCCAAAAAGGAAAGAAGGACTTTTATTAAAGAACGGAGGGAGTATATTTTATGTGATCTAACGGGAATGTTTTTAGCTGGATTCTTCTGACTTATTAAAGTATATAATTAATTAACTAATTAAAATAAATACTAGCTGAGGCCTGAGGAGGTTAGTAGTATAGAAGAAAGTATGATCAATTCCAACATGATTTAGAGACTAGTTATTGAATAACAGTTTTGTTTTAATTTGATAGAGCGAGGATAACGGCGGGTTTTTTGCATGGGAGCCTAGACGAACATACAATTGGGTTGAGGTGAGTATAAGCAAACCATGTATAGTTATCATCATGAACTATTTATTTATCATTTCGTTCAAAATTATCATTTATCATTCCCCACGATTTTAATTAATTACTAGTAACCTCGCTTCCGGAAACAGCCTCTCTATACTTTAGTACATGAGTAAGAGTGTAAGACTGTGTACATCCGACCCCCCTTAGTCCACTGTAGGTGGGAGCTCTTGCGGCACTAGGGTAATGATGATTGTTGAGGATCGATTCCGTCGCCGTATTCCGGCTCAGACAGTCCGGAGCTCGGTTTCCAATCGTCTCTTGTGCACTCCTAAGCTAAGGGAGCAACTTCCCTAGATAGCCACACCTACACTCACACTTCTAGCCTCACAAAGAAGAAGAAGAAGGAATGCTGCCTCACCAGAACTATCTCTCGGCCAGGGAGGAAACAAGGTTCAACTAATGAAACTGGCTTCGCTTACAAGGTGCAGGTCTGCCTATATGTATACATAAGAGACTTTTGGCATATCAACCTAAGGATTGGACGGACAGACAATAATACATGGCAACAGCTCAAGCAAGTTGGACTAATCCAACACAACCACACAAACAAATATCTCACAACTAACTTAATAATGCCACTCAATCAGGATTCAAACGAGAGAACTGAATAGGCTTAAATCAGTCTGGTGTAGAGAATAGAAGGTGTAGCGGGCTGCTAAAATAGGGTGTCAACTATTATTAATATACAAAAACGTTTGGGCCAACAATATATTAACAATCTCCACCTTTGGCCCAAGGTAGTGCACTTAGACAATCACGGAACCGCAGATTCATCATTGCCGGATCATTACAAGTATAATCACAAAGACAATACAAGTAATAGAGAGACACAAGTACTCTCGTGGTAAAATCACCAAGCTTACCGAGTCCATAAAGGACTTAACTCTACCATAAGGTCCTCGAGTTCAAAACCGAAACCATCACAATGCTATTAACAAACACAAGGTATGTTAATAGCTCACACAAGCAAGCATCGGGGAGAAGTTGGGGATCCCAACTAATCCAACAACCACATAAGGCAAGTACACAGAAAATAAAAGAAACGATATTATTTCTATAACTAGCAAAGATAGAGCTCACATAATCACATGGTATCACATTTTCAAAACACAAAGAAAATAGCATACCAAATATCACAAAGATTTTAATTAATAGAGAATTAAGTACATTTAAAGCAAACTCGGAGGAAATATAGTCAAACACTTTGCACATATTATTTCTCTCATGCTCCCTAATGTCTCTATCTCTAATAACACGACAATCACGCAACTCAAGCATATTGCACACAACATTTATATCATGTTCCACCTTAATAGAAATATTATTTTCTTTATTTTCACCACGAAAATCATTTTCATCCACAAATTTGGGTTTGGTTTCAACAAGTAAATCAGAATGAGATTCAACAGGCAAAAGCTCCACCTCATTTGGAGCAACATCAGGAGAAACAAGTAGACAAGGAAATTCATTTTCAACAAAAATGACATTTCTACTCATCAACACATTGAAGCAAGTTTCACTCCTACACCAAAGCCTATAACCTTTCATGCAATCATGATATCCTAAGAAAACATATTCCTTAGTCTTAGGTTCAGATTTATCATTCACACGATTCACATAAGCAGCACAACCAAACACTCTCAAATTGGGCAAGTCAAACGGTTTGCCCATGAACACAGATTCAGGGCATTTCCCTCCTAAGGGAACAGACGGGGACAAATTAACCAAATCAACAGCATAACAAATAGCTTCCCCCCAGAACTTAGTAGAGAGCCCAGATGAAGCTAACATAGCCCTCACCCTCTCTAATAAAGTTCTAATCATCCTCTCAGCAGCCCCATCCGGTTGGGGTGGGGAGGGAACAGATTTATGCATAGAAATACCCCAAGTATCACATAAATCACCAAGCTGATCATCACAGAAATCAAAACTGACAGTGGTCCTTAAAAAATTAATTTTCTTACCGGTTTGTTTTTCAACAAGGGTTTTCCAGTTTTTAAACTTGTCAAAAACTTCAGATTTATTCTCAATCAACAAAACCCACACTTTCTTTGAAAAATCATCAATCAACGTCAGAAAATAATTTTTCCCGCCATGAGTAGAAACACTATAAGGACCCCACAAGTCAGCATGAATACAATCAAGCACATTAGTACACTTAGGCAGATCAGGAAAACCAACTCTAGACTATTTTTCTAGCACACAGGGTTGCACACAATTCATAGAATCAAGTACGGGTTCAGCATGACAAACATACAAGTTGTTTTTCATCTCAGCTTTGAAAACAACTAAGCAACCCTTCACAACTTTCATGATTCCCTTTCCCCATTTTCCCTTCAAACCCTCATTTTCAAGAGAAGCACACGATAGCAAATTACAGTACAACTCAGGAACATGCCTAACATTCTTCAAAGTAAGCACATAACCAGAAGAGAACCTAAGGCACACATCGATCTCCTATTCCTAGCACATTGCATTTCTTCTCATTTGCTAAAGACACAAAGCCATGCTCAATCTCTCTATAGTTTGAAAAAACATTTTTCAAAGGGGACATATGAAAAGTACAACCAGAATCTACCACCCAATCTGATTTACCCAAAGAATCAGATATCACAGAACTCAAATAGTCATAATCACATAGATTTTTCATAATAAAAACATCACCTAAATCATCTTCACACGTAGTCAACTTAGCATGCTCACTATGCTCATTTTTCCTAGATTTAGGACAGTCTCTTATGAAATGACCAGGTTCATGACAATAATAGCAACGCCTCGAATTAGACCTAGACTTAGATCTATGTCGTCTACTATTATTTTCTCTACCCCTCACATGCATAACTTCCTCGGATTTTCTACCCTCACCCATCTGTTTTAAATCTAATTCCTTACTCTTAAGACCATTTACCACAATGTCAAGAGTCACATTATCTCTACCATACTTAATAGCAGATTTCACATCACCAAAGGAATCAGGAATAGCATTTAAGAGAGCAACAGGGGAATAATCATCTATATGCTTATCACCACACAACTTAATATCCGAAATAAGTTTGGTAAAAACATTCAGATTTTCTTCAATATCTATAGACATATCTAGTCTAAATTTGAAGAACTTTTCAAGTAAAAATATCCGGTTAGACAAAGAGGTCTCAGTATACAGTTCATTCAATTCATCCCACAGAATTTTAACACTCTCTAAAATTCCAACTTTTCTAATCACAGAGTCAGATAAGTTCAAATAAATCACAGGACATGCATTTTCATTCATTTCAGCCCTTTTATCTTCCGTGTCAGAAATTAAATAGGTTTCGCCAACTGCTTTAAAACATTTTTGTTGTATTAAAATACATTTAATTTTTTGCTTCCAAATGCTAAAATCAGATTTTCCATTAAATGGAGTCATACCATATTGATTATAAGCAGACATTTTCACAGAGAAAAATAAGCAACAAAAGAAAATGTAAATTTCGCTGAAAAACAATTTAAATATTTATAAGGCTACAACTATACGGAGCAACTAGCACGAACACGTGGGGAGTATTAACGAGCACCAAACTCAAGTTCAAACCCCTTGTTCTTCCGTATAAGCACAAATAAATAATAAATTTCAGCACAACACAATACAACAATTCAATCAATTTTAACAGCAGTAAAAAACCTAACATATAATTTCTACACAATAAAAGACTAAAAAATCACTACAAAAGCGATAAAAGGGATAAAAGTTAATATACCAGAGCGAAACCCTAGGAGAGGCGTTTCGACCTTACCCACCCAATTTTTAAAAATTGGGATTTTTCTGGACTGTTGATTGACTTTGATCAGCGTTGACTAGCCCACTGCCCAGCTCCAGTCAGCCTAAAAGAAGTCCGGCCCAAATTGTTGAAGCCCCAGCAGACCAGCGTTCCTTCTACTGCCCTGCTCCAGCCAGTGTCCCTGCTCCAGCGTCCAAGCTCAGAAGCCCAATGGCCTGGAACAGCCCAAGTCCAGCCTCCAAGCTTCAGCGAACAGGTCCAACGTCTAAGCTTCCAGATGCGGCTCCAAGTCCCAGCAACTCCACGTGAAATCTTCCGCTTCAAGGTCCTCTGCTCCAGTGTACTGTCCAAAGGCCAGTTTAATTCCACGTTTCAAGTGAAAATTCAAAGGCCCAGCATGTGGGTCCAGTACTGCTTGCGTCCAGGCTCCAACTTTTTCCAGTGAAGCAGACTTCTCTCTTCGTTCAAAACCACAGCTGCGAGCAACTAGCGAGCTGTGCCTCTACGACGAACGAAGAACGAAAAAAAAGACGGCTTCTACAGCGACCTCACCGACGGGCGGCGGCACTCTCAGGTGGCTGGTACTTCCTGCAGCGATATTCAGAGGCTTCAATCGACGGTCGATTGAACAGCTAACCTCCACGAACAATCGAACGGAATTGGGGCGGCAGGGTCTGACGGAGGTGATGAACCAGCGACGACGAACGGCAGTTCAGGCAGCGGGAAACGTAGAACAACGGACCAAAGTTCGGCGGAGCTTTCAAGAGCTTCAACCGGCGACGTACGGCGGCGTGCGGCGTGCGGACGGCGGCGGAGTACGGCGGCAGACGGCAACCAGACTCTGATACCACTGTTGAGGATCAATTCCGTCGCCGTATTCCGGCTCAGGCAATCCGGAGCTCGGTTTCCGATCGTCTCTTGTGCACTCCTAAGATAAGGGAGCAACTTCCTTAGATAGCCACGCCTACACTCACACTTCTAGCCTCACAAAGAAGAAGAAGGAATGCTGCCTCACCAGAACTATCTCTCGGCCAGGGAGGAAACAAGGTTCAACTAATTAAACTGGCTTCGCTTATGTATACAGAAGAGACTTTTTGCATATTAGCTTAAGGATTGGACGGACAGACAATAATACATGGCAACAGCTCAAGCAAGTTGGACTATTCCAACACAACCACACAAACAAATATCTCACAACTAACTTAATAATGTCACTCAATCAGGATTCAAACGAGAGAACTGAATAGGCTTAAATCAGTCTGGTGTAGAAAATAGAAGGTGTAGCGGGCTGCTAAAATAGGGTGTCAACTATTATTAATATACAAAAACGTTTGGGCCAACAATATATTAACAACGATGATGATCATAACATTGCTAGAATTGAAAGATTATATATGGGTGAAAAGTAATACTACTATATAATCATGTACTAAAGTGGTCAAAGTTAAAGATGTAAATCAATTGTGATATGATACACTATTATGATTAAAAGTGAAATTTATTTCATAAATGCTAGCTCCCCTATTATCTTTGATGAATAGGGTCTTTTATGGTTAAACGAGTTAATCGAGTGTGACTTTTTGTCTATTTCAATATATCTGCACTCTAATCCTAGTGAGGTAGTGAGTATGTTTGAGCAATAGGCAATATGTGATGATTAAAGAGAGGAAAATCAAAGATTAAGAAAACCAGTCATAAATGAAAAGGTAGGAATCAATGGAACACATATTTTTTTAATAAGTAGTACTTTAATTTGTTTTTTTTTTGACAGGAAGTAGTACTTTAATTTGTTCACAATTAAAAATACGTTATCATGGCCACAAAACTTGTCTCACGTTAAGCAACACAAATGTTTAAGTATTGCATTCTACGTAGTACGATAGTATGTATTATACGGTCTTTATGTGAATATACAAATTGCATCTATGTACACCATAAAACTTGTCTCATGTTAAGCAACACAAATGTTAAAGTATTGCATTCTATTTCAGAAGCTCAATGCTTTGGAGTTTTTTGAGGATGTTCTTATTGAGAGGGAGTAAGACCTTTTCCCCGTTTTAAATTATGTTTGTAAGAGTGAATTATTATTCTCGTAATTTATTTGTGGTAATAAAATGTCAGTACTCATTTATGATATTGTGTATTATTTTCCAGGTACGTGGAGTGCACCTCATCAGCAATTCAAAGCCTATCACTTTTCAAAAAGTTGCACCCTCAATACAGAAGATGTGAAATTGATAGTAGCATTCGAAGAGGCATTGAATATATTGAGAGCGTACAAAACCTTGACGGTTCATGGTACAATTTAATTGCATATGATTCAATTCCCTTATCTGTTCAATGATTTAACGTATATATTGGCTTCTATATATTTGAAATAAATGTGCTACATTTTGTTCACATTTCAAATATTTTCTCTAATATCTAATCAGCCAAATTCAGTAGCACAATGATCATTGATCAGACAGTATGTATGCGGTATGCCCAACTCACACACACTCGGACACTTAATATGGATACACTACAAAATTAAAATTATGGCATTGACACAGATTTGACACGGATTTATCGATGATTTCATGCTAAATAGCTCGTGCCAATTTGTTTTGGCACAGAATTGGCATAACCCTGCCAAAATCTCTGGCAATTTTTGAAAATCCCTTACAAAAATCCATGTCGATCACGATAGTAGACTAGTAGTCAATTAACTTTGCTCACCGGCCTACAAGTTTGATCTTGTAACTAGTAAATACGTACATGCTCCGTATTAAGGACTATTCATCGAAAGTTATACTTTCCGGAAAATAGCATGAAAAGATATTGTCGTTGTAGTATATTTTAGTCACATACTCCGTATTTTCCATTATGGCGGTGTTTATCATTGTTTGTGCTTCCTTTTTAAAAAACACAAACGTAATCAAAATCAATTTTTCAGGAGTCAATCTCTCTTAACTTTTAAAAGACGGCTTCTAGAAGTGATTTGGAACACTCAAAATTACTTCCACACTTTCATCCAAATATTCCAATATATGTTTTTATTCTTTGAAGGAGTAGAAACAAATTAGAATATAAATAAAATTGTAACATTTTAATGTGTTAAAAAACTGTAGGACTGGAAGCTGGGGGATATGTTACACGTATGCAACGTGGTTTGCTGTGGAGGCATTGGCAACATGCGGGAAGAAGTGGGAGAATAGTGACGTTGTGCGCAGGGCTTGTCACTTTTTGCTCTCAAAGCAGCTCTCAGATGGGGGATGGGGAGAGAGTTATTTATCTTGTTCAACTAAGGTTTGATTTCTTTTTTGTTTTTGAATATTGTCATCGTTTTTCTAATTAAAAATATTTTCTCGCACGTACATAATAGAATATTTATGAGGTTTTTCTTAAATACGGAAGGGACGGAACTTTTACTGGTTAGAACAATAAGAAATTTAGATTGTTTAAAAAGTGTTAGTTAGATTTTTGGAAGAAAAAAACTAGATATATTTTTATTTGAAATGTAGAATATACGGGTAATATTTGTGCAATTTTTTATGCCAAACACAACATCTTTGATTTTGCGCACTAAATGATTTAATTATTAAAGTAATGGAGTATATGACTTACGACCTCCCGGTTCACATACTACTATTACACCGCAACAGGCCCTACTACCCCAATGGGTCCAAACAAGCATCTGGGCTCCCATCGGGTAATGCCCAAAGGCTATGGGCCACGACAACTCATATAATGAACATCTGGCATAGTCAATCCAGAACATTCCTGTCTCTAGGTGAGCCGTCGAGATAGAGCCTTTGGTACCCAAGGGCGAAGCCTTTAGCTTTGGTCCAGATGACCCTCGGTCCTGCGTCATCAGACACTGATCAACTATCGCATTTAATGTTTTTCTACGTGCCCGAATATGCCTTATAATGATGTTTTCCATCATAGACTAGCTTACATATGTATATGCATTTAATCCACTTAGCATTTATGACTAATATATATAGTCGTTCATTGGACAAATGTATTGACTGGTAAATCATTAATACAAGTGCACTCCTCTCTCTAACTTATTTGTTCTTGTTTCTCCATACATACCACTAATGATATGCCGCTTCAGCTATGTATCAGTAAGTAAACTGAGATTACTTTTCTGATTACATTTACTAAAGAAGACGATTCATTTTTTCATATAATCTTTTATTTATTATATTGAAAATATATTTTAAATGTAATTTTGTGTATCAACTTGTTTCGACTATTATTTCACTAATCTTTGTGATTTAGTAGTCAAACTAAATATAATTAACAACAAGCTTTGTTCAACATATGTGTAGGGAGGGTGTGTGTGTATTCCATTAAATGGAAGAAATTAAATTCTAACGACAGACATTACTCTGAATGTGTCTTTATATACTCAAATTGCTACTAGGTGTACACAAACCTAGAAGGAAATCGATCACATTTAGTTCAGACTTCATGGGCTCTCCTAGCTCTTATTGCAGCCGATTATGTAAGTTCACATTATAATGGTCTGTAATTTTACTCGTTCAAAATAAATGCCCCTTTTAAAGAAATCATCCGCTTCCAATATTCAAGAAATGGAGCAATAGAAATTTCTGCCAGATTTGAAAAAAAAACTGCCAAATTTGTGGAAAAAAAAACTAGAGATTTGTAATGTCAAACTTGGTAGAAATTACTTCTATTTAGGGAATAAAAACATGACAGTCCTATTTTGAAATTTCAACTTTTTTACTCCTATTTAGAAAAAATTTCATGGAGCAAAACTCTATAGAGTTTTGATGAATAGAAATGATGGACAAAAATGAGACTAGATAACTTTTAGTGATTATAATCATATTCAAAGTTACTATGATGTAGTCACTATGATATAAACTTTGAATACAATTATAATCATATTCAAAGTTACTATGATGTAGTCACTATGATATAAACTTTGAATACAATTATAAACTTTTAGTGATTATAATCATATTCAAAGTTACTATGATGTAGTCACTATGATATAAACTTTGAATACAATTATAATCACTAAAAGTTACTAAATCGTATTTTTTTCATTAACCATTTATTAGTAATATTTTAGGAAAAATGTCTAATCCATTACTATGATTTCATTATCGTTGAAGGCTAATTTTGGAGAGTGTATAAAATCAAATAAGCGTAAAAATACAAATTAGCATTATATGACGAGAGCACTAATATAAATTACTACATATACGACATACAAAGTAAGAAATATGTATTACATATTACAGTGTATTACATTTGAGTATATGACACTACAAAAAAATTATGGGATTGACACAAATTTGACACAAATTTATCAATGATTTCATGCCAAATAGCTTGTGTGAAAGTATTTTTGACACAAACTTGACATATCCCTGCCAAATTCTCTATGAACTTTGGTAGCCAAAAAACCCTATCAATCTCATGTTTTTTTGTAGTGTGACTTCGTTATACTACGTATAACATTGTAAATATTGTTTAAATCAATTGATTATGTTGAAATTTATGAAGTCTTGGTTCAAGTGGCTGGATTGGGCGATTATGCTGAATTATGATAAAATTATTAGTATTTAATATATATTTTATTAACAAAGTAAAGAAAAAATCATTGAAAAATAGTTAAAATGACTTTCTACAATAACTTCAGCCAATCAAGTCCGAAAAGTAACTTCAATTCTACTTATTTTAATTATTACACAACTCAGCGTACAAAGTCCAAAGTTACTTAATGATTTCATGAAAAAGTAAACTGATAAGCCGAAAATTATGAACATAAATAGGGCTCCATATTTGTTGCTCTGTATTTACTTAACGCTTAATAACAATCAGATTAAGGTGGATCCGTCCCCAGTTCACCGCGGTATCAGAGTATTAATAAATTCACATATGGATGACGGAGACTACCCTCAACAGGTATGGAGTAATAATATATTTATACATTAATACAATAATATATCAATTATAGTATTATTAATATCTTATATATATAAATAGTATGGTTGAATATAAAGATAGTATGGGTTGAAATTAAATATTTTATTTTCCCTCCCAAAAAATGATATTTTTGAAGTATTTAATGAACTCTTAATTTTAACTAATGTGTATATAAATACTAATTGAACTTAACATAAAGAATAATCATTAAAAAATACCAACTAATTAACGTTTTTATACATACATAATTAATTTCATATATAATATACGTAGTACTTAACAAAGATCAATATTATATGTAATATATAGGTATTCATATTTAATTTTTTACATCATATTTTTTGAACGATGCTTTTAAGTATTACCACGTCTATATGGTATGGAAGTGACCTTAATAAAACTACATAGGGGATGAATAAGAAAAATGGATATAGGGTTGGTTTGCAACTCCTTTTAAAAAAGCACTTCTCAGCTTTTGGCTTTAAAAAGTACTTATTTTCCCAAACGTTACAACTTTTATTTTTCTCGGCTTCCGCGTCAAAAGTGTTTTTACTTTTTCTATTACACAAAAAGTACTTATTTTATCAAACACTACCCACTTTTACTTTTCAAAATCATTTTTTTCTAAAACACTATCAACTTTTATTTAATCACTTATCCCCATTTTATTAAAAAAAACACTTTTTTAAAAGCAAAAACTGTTGCAAACAGACTCATAATAACAACAAACAAAAAGTGCTTATAGAAAATAATACGTTTCTTTTTACTATACTTTGACTATTCATATCCCCGTTTCATTTCTATACTTTGAATTTATCTCATTACAAATTTTCATAATCGGATTTTTAATATTTTTTACTAATAGAAGTTAAATTTAATGAAGGCCATAGTTATGCATTGGTAAGGATATTAATGGTATTTTCTTGATTAATTCCAAATAAATTTCGAGTTTATTTGCTGTCCAAAACCATTCCAACACATCAACCACAATAAAGTAATATTTAGTCTTTATAATTAGGTAAATTAGAGAACATTTTGGGAAATACCAAAAGTAAAGGGAAACGAATTTTTTTAAATATAAATATATCACAAAACATTTATTGTTATCATATTAATTCTTAAGTAACATAAAAACTAAATAATGTTCATTTGTGTTTTTTGTAATGATTGGAGCATCTCTTACATTTGTAGATATGTTTTTTTAACACAATTAACTTTATATCATGTGTTCAAAGTTTTAATTAAAAATATTTACACACTAATGGTCAAATAAATTTTTATGGGCAAATTCATTCATGCAACACACTAGTAGATTGATAATTACAATAATACGTAAGGGATTCGGTTCAATTTGGAAATGTCAATATATAGTCAAGGACTCCAGGTGCCTAATGAATTTTAAAGTCCACAGAAAGTTACATTTTTACTTGTATATTTGATGGACAATGAAAGTATGTAGTTATGTGTCTCACACTCTCACTACGTGCATATGAGCATATTTTTTAATACATGTCATCATTCGTAATTTATTTAAATCCAAACTAAAAGAAAAACTTATACTTCGTATAATTTTTCTGTGAAAGTCACTACGTAGTATTTTAGAAATGATTTAATATATAATGTCCATTAAATGTCGATCAAGAGATTATATTGTGAACATCTAATTATCATACCATCATCAATGAAACATTGAAACAAATGTACATATCTCAATACATGTCCATCTTATCTTAATGAAATAATATGGATCATTGATTGGATAATTTTGTGTACTAATTGAACAAAAATCTGAATTTCAGGAAATTTCTGGAGTATTTATGAAGCACTGCACATTAAACTATGCATCCTATCGGAATATATTTCCCATATGGGCACTTGGACAATATCGCAACAATTTTGTATTTCCCTAATCATCATTTGTTCACTGCATCATGAATAGATTGTAACAAACAATCGTATTACACATACATTATATGTACTCTTATGAAAAGAACTGTTCTTTTTAGTGGATAAAAAGAATTATTCTAATTTGTAGAGTATTAAAATTTAATATAGTGTTAAAGCATATATTTTGCCAGAGAGAAATCATTCGAATATTAATCATCCAAGAAAACCACTATATCATACGATCCATAGTCCAGTCATCTATTGTACAATAATATCTTACAAAGGACAAAGGCATATATAATACAAAGATTCCCTAAAAACTAATAATGTGGTTAATTAACTCCCACCAAGGAAATATCATACGTGAATGAAAAGAATATACATGCAAGGATGACACAAAGGAGGAAGAGATGACACTATAATTCCAGAGTTTTATGTCATAATCAAAGATGTCTTCTTGTGGTGGGGGAGAAGGATCCAACGTGGGTGAAGGATGCTCCAAGACTAATTTACTATACCTAGATGTGTGGAATGAAAATATTTCTTCAAAAAGAGACATCTCTGGAAGTGAAATATTCATTTGTTTCAATATCAAATAAATTTCATCCTTTTTACCAAAAGAGTAACCAATAAAAACATACCTAGTATTTGCTATTGTGACTAGCAAATTTATCTGCTTTTAATTAGCATTTTGGTTATAAGCGAAAAATGACATCCAAAAACACATGAAATCTTATACGTAGTAGTAAGGAAATCACCATATAAAATTTCAAAAGGTGTTTTATGTTGAAACAATGCAGAGGGTGCGTGTTTAATCCAGGGGTGGAGACAGGGAGGGGCTGGAGGGGGCCCCGGCCCCTGCAAGGAAAAAAATTCTTAAGTATATATTATGTATAAATACGTTTAATCTATAGAAAATATGTTGATATTTAAACTTTGGCCCATGCAAAGTAAAATTTTCAAGAACCGGCCCCTTTAACTATAAACTTCTGGCTCCGCCACGGGTTTAATCATCTGAGCAACGGTAAGAACACATTCTCCCAAGAAAGATAAAAGCAAATATCATCAAAAATACCCAAGCAACATTAAGAATATCTTGATGTTTTCTTTTCACCCGTCCATTTTGTTTAGGCGTACAAGCAAAACATTGAATAACCATAAATTATGTAATGGTCAAACACGTCCAGCTTTGATCGTAATCGTTTGTTGGCCATTAAAAAGACCAAAAATTTGAGCATGTATTTCATGAATATGAGAAGCATGATAAATTTCTAACAACATGATTAGAATCTCTAGTATCAACTAGATTTTCACCCGTGCTTCGCACGGGATGCTCTTAGAAATATAATGTTTTTAATTTGATTGAAATTTCATAGTTTGATCTGGAGTGACCTGATTTAGTTTAGTCTAGTCTATTTAAGTCTGGTATAAATTGAATTGGTTTGGTGTGATAAATGTCTTAACTTTGTATATTTTATGAATGTCTAAGCTAATAAGATACAACATTGGTTTGATCTGGTCTGATCTAGATTCTTCGCCGGTGTGTTGCACTAATTGAATTAATTCATAACATAAAGAAATGTTATGATATATAGATAAAACAACATACATACGTTTTTTACAAAAGTAAATGAAAATAAAAACTACTCCCTCCGTCCCGAAAACAACTTCCCGGTTGGACTTTCACACACTTTTAAGAAATAAATTTGACTTTACTGTAGAGTGCACTGTTCTGCACTGTTTAAACACTGTTTGGCACTGTTTAAACACTGTTTGGCACTGTTTAAACATTGTTTGGCACTGTTTATCACTTTTTTGATGTAGATAATTTGCCAAATAAGGAAAGTATTGAAGTGTGAAGTTAATTTTGGGACATCCATTTAAGGAAAGTGGGAAGTTGTTTTCGGGACGGAGGGAGTACAAATTAATATACACATCCTCGAAAACAACATTTAATGTCTTGATTGATTTCCCATATTATCTAACAACATTATAATTAGGAGTGGGGGTTAGTACCCCTGATTTTTGTCAACACATTGGATGCATAAGGTGTTGTACCTTGTTATTAGAAAGTGGAACCTATTTTTCCGGTTGGCTTCTTTACCCTTGCATACAGTGAGATTTAACTTCCCCGTTAACTCAGGCAAGCCGCATCTGCTGCCTGCTTCGTCGACTCGTCGTTGGGGAGACCTAACAAACGGGAGAAAAACCAGCCTCAGAGCTTCCGTCGATCATTCATCTGCTAGCTCAGTTAATGGTATTAAATTTCTCTTTTGTTATCGTGCTTCTTGCACGCCCTCTGCCTTAATCTGAACGACCTGTTCTTCTTCTATTCCGTTCAGATTTGCTTCCAGGTAATGGTTACCCAACAGCTCGTTGGAAATTCAAGGGTCGTGCACTTGTGCATATGGCTATAAATAATTCGTGCCTCAGCTGACCACATTCGGGATTTCTTATCGTGGCTTAGTCCTGTAAGTTTTTCAATATCTTGTCATTCTATTTGATTTGTGCTTAATTGCAGTACTAGTGTTTGCCTGATTTGTGTATGTGGGTGTAAATAATACTAGTACTACGTAGGTAGCAAGGCAGAATCTCTTCCTGGCCAAAAAAACCCAAACCCGATTCTTTGATTTCTGATTTTGATTGTTAATTAACGTTCGTAATTAACGTGGTAACATTATGATTACAGAGGCAGTTAATTGGTTGTTGTACAGTACGAAGTTGTCTTTCATTTGAATCAAAATAATGAGATCTTTGAGTTATATGGACTAAGGAATACACATTTTGACTTTGTCGTGCAGTACAAAATTTACTTTTACCACCCGTGTTATCCCAACTCCCAAGAGTATAAAGGAAAACTGAATTCACATTGTGAAATGTGAAGTATATTTTATACTCTTTGTATTGAAGTATATTTTCTATTCCAAAGGAAAACTGAATTCACATTGTTGTATTAGAAAGTTTTTTTCATTCTCTTTGTGCCCACAACTCCACAAGTATACACAACTATTCTTTTAAAATACTCTAAAAAAAACTATGCTTTTTAAAATTTATGCTTATGCGTTTTTACACCTAGCAACCTACTAGCAATTGGTCTTACTCCTACTCCCTATATTACTAAGCAGGCAAGCGGTTTTCTAAGATTAGGTTTCAGTACCCTCTTTTCTTTTCGTTGCATTGCCTCATATGAGTAGCCGAAGACCCTTACGGTGTAGCTTGGATCAGGGAAAAGAAGTGGTGCTACTGAAAACATGGTTCAATTACTTGTGCATTATTATGTTCCTTGGTTAAACAAACTCTATATTTGAGTCTCAAAGTTCCTTCTGCTTATATTTCACTTTACCATTTATGTATGATAAACAGGTTAGGCTTGCCCTCATGGATTTGCATTCAGTAAAGGACCTGTATGATAGACTTCGTCTGTTCTTTTCCTCATCGGTTCTGTCATTATATATGTATTTCCAACCCTGCTCAAAGGAAACATTTATATTTTATACGAACAGTTTTAACTCTTTTCTTGGATCTTAGAAGGGTTAAAACTATAGCTAGGAAGGATAGGAGTCTATAAATGTTTCTTGTTTGGTAGGACACAACCTAAAGGAAAACATTAAATTTTGTTTGCTTGTTTCATGCATCAAGAATCCATCAGTTCGCGTATTGTTTTTTATATGTTTGTTGTACTAAATCATGTCTGCAAGGCTGATATGTAGTGTGGATTGCTTTATGAATAATATTGTAATGCCACTGTATAAAGATGAAAAGTTCAGGGAGTTGTATTGATCTTGGATTAGCAAATGTTTAAAATTCACCAATTGTTATTCTTTAGTTTTTAAAAGAAACCATACGTACCTATTTAACTTAACTGATTTTTCAATTATTTTTTGTTTGCCTTTTCAAGTGTGGATAATTAGCTATTTTAAATAGTTTGAGATTCTTGACAAAGTTCTTTACAAAAAAATAACATTACTTTGATATTGGGCAAACGCTCTCGCGCCTTGCGCGAGCAAATGCTAGTCACATATAATAAACTTCAACCTTGAAGAGGAGGAAACTCTTGACACCACGACGTATGACTGGTTAATCTGGTTAGTCTTCAGCTCCGCGTAACTAAATATCTAAGCAGAAATGTGAATGACAACTTCAAGTCTTCTAAGTCATATTTAGTCAAGCTAATATAAGTTTTGGAATAAGATATTTGTTTCCTACATTTTAAAATTTTATAATATAATATGAGTGAAGTTTACATCCCACACAGAAAAGTCATATATGTAAGATCATATTAATATATATAAATGATATAAAAATATCACAATATTAGTGGTATAATATTACAACATGTACAATTAATATTCAAGTAAATCCACGCTAACTTTAAAATTGTGCATCTCCACCGACCCATGAGTAAATTAAAAATAGCATCTCTTGCTGTCTATTGAGGATATTTTTACTTGGACTGTAATTTGTCCGAGACCAGACCAGACCAGACCAGTTCAGACCAGATCAGACCAGACTTGGATAGTTATAAAAATACAAAGAAACCAGACCAGACCAGTTCAGACCAGACCAGACCAGCAAATTACACTCAAAGTAAAAACATCCTGATTGTTTGGTGTTGTTTCAGCCCTGATTACTCCAGGCTCCCCAGCCCCCTCCCCCAGATCCAGAGTAAAAAAAAGGCTATATACCAAAGTGCTTGGAAAGTTAGTTTGATGCTTGTTTATTTGGATTTTAGTATCAAAATTCGTTTGATGCTTGTTTATTTGGGGTTTCGCATCAAAAGTCGTTTGATGCTGGTTTATTTGGGTTTGAGCATCAAAATTTGTTTAATAATAATGGGCGTGTTTGGCATTCAGCAGTTAGCGGATAGCGGGTTGTTAACACCTGATTCGGTCAGCGGGTTTGACTAGCGGAATGAATTGGCGGGTTGTCAAAAGATGTTTGGTAATTTAGCTATTTGGCCATAAAATTAGTAGATAACGTCATTTTTCGAAACGCCAACTCAAAACTCTCCTATTAGGAGCGTTTTCAATTTGACGTTTTCGTCCAAAAACGCTGGTGTCGAACAACTATTTACCAAACAACGTTTTCACTTATTGAAAACGCTAAAGTGGTCAAACCGTCATTTTTCGACTAAAACACCGTTTACCAAACACCCCCAATTTAAAGGATATTTTTGTCAATTTAAGTGAAAACACTTGTATTACCAACACTTCATTTTTTAACCAAACACTTTAATTACTAATAGCTCCCAAAACTTCATCCAAACAGGCCATAACGAGCCTGGAGTGGAAAACAATCCACTGCCCGTCTGCCCCTTCCATTCTCATCACTGTTTCAATGGCGTCTTCTGAAGCTTACCCCAAACAAGCCTCTGACGAAATCCGAACTGATGTTCTCTCTGCCGCTCGATTGTCTTGCTACAAGGTAATTCCAAAAAGGTAATTTCTCTTTCCCTTTCCCATTTTTTCCACACGTAATTCCTTATATATTTTCATCCATGGGTTCCCAAAAGGCACGCGACGCATTCTATTCATGCCTGGGGAAAGAATCTGGCAAGAAAGCTACTGAACTCGCGACTGTAGGCCTGTTGTACCCAGCGGAGTGCAAGAAATCCAGAAAAGAATTTGTGAACCAATGCCTACCAAGTTGGGTTAGTTCTTCAATTCGAGAAACTATTGATCCTTACTGTTTTCAATGGATGGGATTTATGGAGTCAGTGATGTCATAGTGATGTTGCTCTGTGTGTGCAGGTGAAACACTTTGATAGGCAGTATTGTGTTAAGAAGAGGGTTCAAAGGCTTTTGGATGATGATGAGTCAAAGAGCGGCCCGTTGGTACTCCCACAGCCTTATACATTCAAGCCCCCTTCTTCAAGCTAATATCACTAGTATGGATGTGTGTTATCCTGGAATAGTTTTTTTAAATTTTTGAATAGGACCATAATAATTATGTACATCACTTCCTGTAGGAGCACATATATTATCAAGCAATTAGATTTCACTTGTTGATGCTTCATTAAAATCATCAGAATTCTATTTCAAAGCAGAATGCCCTACTTTTTGTAGGGAGCATTTACTTTTTCTTTGTCTATAGTGTAGTTCTTTTGGGACTAAAGCTTGAGTGTTGTTGTTGTGTCTAGAGTAGTTCTTTCCTTAGGGTTTACCTGTTGTTTGTAACTTTCCAAAGGTTGCGTCATTGTCATCAGTGAACTATTCGCTGGGATTTAGACTTTAGAGCGTCATACTTAAGGACCTTAAGGTAAAAGGAAATGAATGTTAATTGGTGGGCTTTTCTTGCCTTGAGCAGCTTTAATGTTCAAGTAAGATCAGGAGAATGCAGTTGCCTAGATTGGTGGGGGAATGTTTATGTGGAAATATACTTCTTTTGGCACTAATGGATAGTTTGGAGTTTAGTGTCTCTGCTCTAGGTTACATTTATCCCACTGAAGAATAAAAGTAGATGTAATTTTGAAGACCACTTGGGCTTGACTGTGAAAACTCTTCTTAAGATGCAACATTTATGCTGTTTACACTTTCTACAAAGATTAATTCATTCTATTCTATTTAGAGGTGAATTGAGGACACCTTTTTCATATGACATTTCTGATTATACACATTTTCAATTTCTTTTTTGTATTGTTTTTACATTTTTGTGAAGTATTCTTTTCCATTTCCTTTGCGGTCTTGTATTACATCTTTTCTTCTTTCTTTTCAAGTAACTGGTGCTATTATGCACAAACTCTTTGACATTACAACAGTTTCAAGAGTTGGTTCTTGATTCATCATGACTATTGTTGGTTTAAATACTTTGCCTTGTACGATGTGAACCCGGTAATATTGCTAAATGATTCAACTTAGAGTATTGTGTTTCTATCTAGTTAAACTCGTTGCTGTAACCTTAGCAGTTGTGTTTAATCAATTACATGAGTGCCTTTTCCCATATACTGTAAGTAAAGAATCGAAATATACGAAGGATCTAAACAAACTACTATAGTTGTTGTTGTTGTTGTTTTTGAAAAACGGAAATATTTTTATTGAGAAAGATAAAAGATGACATGCTCTAATGAAGGAAATAGGTGCAATCGGGGAACCCCCCACCCCCACCCCCAAGCTATTGAAGAAGAAAAAGAAGAAAAAAATACGAGAGAGAACACCAATATTGAGGACCATGATTCAAGCAGCCAGCTAGTTCTGAGAAACAAGTTTCTTTTTTAAAGCCGGACGATCACTCCTAAGGATTTTATGTTTGAACTTTGGAGGATTCAAGTTCCAGGAAGAATCAAGTAGTCGTTCCAAAAGTTCTTGGTCTGAAATCTGAAAGAGGCCTCCTGATAGGTATACATTCGATTTCTTTGTCAGAATCCGAGCCTGGTTTAGATGGCATGTCAACAGCCCCCTCATTCTCTGGAAGATGAAAGTCTGTAGCAATAACCTGTAAAGGATTTTCTTCAATAAATTCTGAAACATTAGCAGAAATTGTATTCTCCATAACATGAGCAGAAGATTCAATATTCTTCAAATCCTACATAAATAATAAAAATGAAATGGATGGTGACTCAAAAGGCATAGAGCCAATGCGAGTAAGTCCAGAGATTTCTGGAAATATTTCTCTAAAATCATTCTAATCTTCTCTTGATATTCAGAAAGTATCACTGCCCAAATCCTTAAGTACCCTCTGAAGCTCCGTATCAAAGTGTTGAAAGCCTTCCTTTTTCCAACCTTCAGGGATGATAATAGTTGTCGTGCCCCGACCTGTCAACTCCATGAATCGAATAAAACCCCCAAAATGATTTTTCTCAAACGAGATTTCAAGTTTATGAGAGCCCTCATATCGTGTAAACTACTGTAGTCGTTGATAACCATATATTCTATTTAGAAGTGACACATTTTGAACTTTTGGTTGTGCTAAAAATTTCTAGCATCATCTTTTGGGCATGATGCTTTAAGACTCAGGCATGTGATATACTGATATGTAGTGTTTCCGCTCCTATTTGTCATCATTTGAACTTTTGACCTTTACTCAGTTAAACTTGATTCACTTCCCATCATTTTCTTCTACCTCAAGTCATGTACACGCTAAATTAACATTTAATGCACCATGAGTCTACTCCCCTGGTTGTAGTTTGCATGATTGAAAATATGTTTCCAATATCTATCCGTTACTCATCCGTTATAGTTTGCATGAGTCTACTCCCCTGTGTCTAGTGTTAGTATTATGTCCTACCACTTTCTTGGTATGAATGACATTGTGAAAAAGTGAGAAGTTATTACAAGCTTTTAAGCTTTTTTATAAGGATGTTAATATAACTGTGCTGTCTTCTCAAGGTGATTAGGTTATTGGGTAATTGGAAATGTAGGATCAGTATGCATGCTCAGGGACTCGGGGTATCATTCAGTGTTTGGAAGTAGTATATTTCAAGCAAACTCGGTCTTATGCCCTCCCACTGTGTATCTTTTCTTATTAATAAATAGGTAGGGTGTTCCCCGACCCTTACTCCATCCTCGGATGGTTTGCGCTGGGTTTAAAAAAAAATCAAGCAACCTTTTACCATTATCTTCTTCACTACACTTGCCACAATCTTAGTGGCTGGTGTATTTTTTAAAGGGAATGGTGGGACAATTTGTATCTTTCTAACAAACAGAATACTGGTTAGATAGCTTTAGAAGTTTAGAATATGCGTGAGAAAACTGTTGCTCTTTTTTGTTTTTGTTATTTTAGTATTGCATGGAAAGGCTGGGCCTTTCGTTTTGGGCTGGGACTGACTTCATTCTATCCAGGATTCCAGGATGGTATTATGTAATCAATATAAGGGCATCTTAAGTAGTTAAGTGTAATAGAACTATATCTGGTTGGATGAGAGGGGGTCAGGGGGATGTGTATAAGTACAGAGATATGAATTCATATGGGAGACACTTGAGTTCTTTTTTGTTTATTTCCCCTCATGGCTTCAAGATGTTACGAGCCTGGTTGTTATTATAACTTATAAGACCTCATTTTGGAATTTGGAAATTAAGTGGTAAAAAACAAATAACTTACATTTTATTATTGAAATGCAAGTCATCCTGGACTAGCTTTTGCTTCACGATAAAATTTTGACAAAATCATACTCCGTAATATGTTTGAGATTTTGATAAGATAAAAATAAAGTATGTATTGCCACCAAGGCACCAATGTAATCCCAAATGGGTTTAAGAATCTAAAAAAAAAATCATGTGGCTGCCTGGCTGGTAGGATTGCTAGATTTAATACGTATGAGATTTAATACTATTGAGGTACTTGCCATTATGAATGAAGGGCCTGAAGGCGATCCTGGGAAGACGACCTGACTTCCCATTGAAGTTCATGAAAAACATGTACTCCATAATAAATAATCTGGGGTGCAAGGAGTCGGCATGATTTTGCAATATACCATACCAGAACCACATAGAGAGAATGTTGAATGCATAGAAGATGGACTGCAACGTTATAATAAATCGGCGATAATACAAAAAAATGCATGATTGCATTGTATTCTTAACAAATCATTGGTAAGCAATTGGCATAGCTAATCTGATGTACTTATTCGCCTGTGTATATAGGTTTTCGTCTCTCAGCAAATGCTGCAAGCCCTTCTAGCCGATCTTTTGTGTTCAATAGTTGCTCATAGCAATCCTCCTCCAATGCCAGAGCTGATTCCAAATCCAACTCATATCCTTTATCAATTGCATGTTTTGCCATCTTTAATGCAAGCGGTCCCTGTCATAAGAGATATCAAGGTCAATACAAGGTCACCTAGGTATACACAAGAACCAAATGCCTAAACACCTATTGAAAAGGATAAGGGAAGCAATGGAGTGAATTATTGGGATTTGTTAGTTTGGCATCTTGAATGTATAAGAGAGTTAGTGAATTGAAAGTAAGGGTTTTTAACTCATTCAATGAAAATATACAACTCCAACCTTCTGGTTTATACTTCGAGCAATTTCAAGTGCCTTTAGATGAGCTTCGCCAGAAGGAACACAATCATTGACCAGTCCTGAACAAAACGGTCTTTTTTAATACTGGATATTCAAAAAAGACAAAAATACCAGAACTATGGCATGCCCACCCAGTGATAAGGCTTCCTTCCCATTAATCTTTCGTCCAGTAAATATGAGATCCTTTGCGATTGATTTTCCAACCAATCTAGGAAGCCGCTGTGACCCACCAGCTCTGCAAATGGTCAAGGCAAATATGACATATTCAGCATGACATCCTCTAGTTCTGAGCATCTCATAATTTGAAATTTTGAACATCATTATCGTTACCCCAGTGCCACAAAGGCTCCCACCTACGGTAGGGTAAGGGGGGGTTGGATGTACGCAGTCTTACCCCTGTACTAAAGCACAGAGAGACTGTTTCCAGATGATCCATAGTGAAAATCGCGTCCAAAATTGCATAGGCTGACTGCTGCTTCATAACAAAGAAGCGCAAACAGCTTAGTGAACCATTTTGCTTTAATCCATCATATTCTCAAGCCATTTTGCACATTGCCACATTTACATTCTGAAAAATCACTAGACACATACCCGGGTATGATTGCAAGTCCAGTTTCCGGCAAGCCCAAAACTGTATCTTCCCCTGTTAACATTCAATAAAATGATTTCAGGATGTAAGCAAATCTGAAAGCTAATTGTCATTGCTATAGGAGTCCAGGAAAAAAAACTCACCGCAAATGCGAAGATCACAACATAATGCCATTTCTAGTCCTCCACCTAAAGCTACACCATCAATCGCAGCAATAGTCGGAATACAAACTGCCTAGATAGTGAGATGAAAATTTAGACACATAATATAACTTCGAATTAAAAAAATTGCAGGTCTTCTCCACTTGCGCCCCAACGAACAAATGAATAGTAAGACAACAAAATAAAACATGAAACAAAACTGCAGTAACACCAACATATAAAGAATTATAAATAATTAGCAAGAAACAGCATTATTGCAAACAGACCTCCAGAGTAGAGAATGTTTTCCGAAGAGTGTTCACAAACTCCCTGACCTCTAATGGAGCCATTGTCTTTCTCTCCTACATACATGGTTAGAATATAAAAGACTCTATCAATCTTATCATCTGACCAGTTGCTTAATAATAAGCATCAAATAGCAGCATATAAGAATTGATAAATGTGATGCACCTTCATAATATTGCAATCTTATTTGCTGGCTAACATGGGATAAGGGACTGAGGCTAGAATCACCAGTTGATGATGTACCATTTTTTAAGAGTATTGATGTGAGCACACTAAGTTTTGAAAAAAAATTATGCAAGGTAGAATTACTGAATTAGCGAAATAGTTTATTGTACTTTGTTATTTTGTTTATATAGCACTTCTTACTTTTAACTCCTATAATCCTATTGCTAGTTTTTATTATTGAAAAAGGCACACGTGTACATTTGTTGTGATAAAAAAACACTATTGGTCATTTTCTTTAAGATTTGAAGTGCTTTTCAAGACTCAAAACTTAGGTGCTAAATATGCCACTGAGGATCACAGGATTCACAGTCCTAGAGTAGGTTTTCATGGAGCTGTAAACCTTGTATAAAGGAGATGCCATGGAGTCATTTAAGAAGCTGCTTCTTATGCTAAACAATAGAAGGTGGATTTTGAATAACATACTTCGTGTATAAAAAAATAACATGATGAGCAATTGCCAAACCCAAAAGGATTCCTTTAAGACTTGTCATAAGTTGTGCATAAACAAACATCAATGACACAGGTTTCAAATCAACTCCACGAGCTCAGGTTATTGTAGAAAAAGTAGGCTGCAATGCAAAAATACGCCATGAAGCTAAAATATTTAACTTTTCTAGCATGGTTGCAGGCTTGTTGTCTTCTTTAACTATCATAGCATTTCCTCATTCTAGCAATAGGTTGGGAAATGAGGGGGAAAAGAGTCAGCCTTTTAATAAAATGAATAAACAAGAGTCAGCCTTTTATTTTAGGACTTGTGAAGAAATTACCTTCAAATCAGCACCAGCACAAAACACTTTCGGAACGGAGCTGCAGATCATTAAAACATTAGCCAAACGTTCTTTAGTTATTCTATCTAACACATGCTGTAATTCTCTTAGCATATCCTTCCCGATCGCATTCTTTCTGCCCGGTCTATCCAACTTAAGCTCCAAAATTCCTATCAATTAACAGCCCTAAATTACTAATTTAGACGTAAATCACAGTTCAGTGGTTCATCTCCATCAGTGAGATTACAATTTGCGTAATTCCATAGTTTTGATATGTATAGATAAACAAATAAAATACTCCGTGGGTATTAAATTCCAGGGTTCCTGCGTTTACCAGAATCAGATTCGGAGTGTTGTTCTAACTTTATGGATTCGGATGTTGATGTCTCTAAAATGAGAGTCCGCCTGCTCTGGAATCCCCATCTTTGAACTCGGGAATGGGAATTCAAAGACCTAAGGCGAGAGATTAGCTGAGAGGAAATGTAGGGTTTTGATTCCGTCGATAATGTTAGCTCGAGTGACTTGGCTATGGAGCGAAGAACGACGACCATAATTGAATTCTCCAGTTATCAACTCAGTAGTAGACATTCAAATTCAAGTTAACATCTTTATTGGTTTCTCCAAGTCTTCAGGATCTGTTTTAAAAATCAAGTTGTTATTGGCATGAGAGTTTTGTATATTACTATTTTTTATCTTCTTATTTGAATTATTTTATAGAGTTTTGGTAAGTTTTTTTTCACGATGTCAAAGAGACCGTCTAGATGTTGACATTGCATTTGACATTGCAGGGAAAAACATACTAAAATTGTATAAAATCATTCAAATAAGGAGAGAGATAATTTATTTATTAATGTTTATGTGACTATCTCTCGTGTCACATGTGCACCGTGCACATTCTAGCATTGGAGATGGTGTATTAAAATTATGATATAAATGTAATCATGATAAGAGGATCCATTGATACTCTACTCCAATGGGGAAGTGAAACATGTGCAATATAAAAATCATGATTAAAAAATCAACAGGCAAAGAGATGGAGATGAGACCCAGGGTCTCAAACTAGACCTTCTACTTGACACATAGGATGGACCTCATCCATTTCTTTTTGTATTGGAAAGTGCAATTGCTCACAAATGGTCCATTTGGTCATGGTTGAGCATCGGTCGGGTTCGGGTCGGGCGGGTTGGTAAACCCAAGACCCTGTCGGGTTTCGGATGGGTAAATTGGATATCCTACCCTATCTTTTTTTTCTTTTATAATTTCGGGTTTTCTTGAAATTCGGGTTGGGCGGGTTCGGATCGGGTTTCGGGTTTAGTCGGTTTAATATTTATAACAGTAATAAATAAATAAAAATGAAATTGCAGCACATTATTTGATTAACATACAAAATCCGAATACATACAAAAAAAGCAGATTAACATACCAATTTTTTTTTTGACAGAACATTTTAAAATGCAGATTCAGTTGCCACAGAATATGATAGAAGTGTGCACAAATTACATCCAAAGTTCCAAGTATGCAAAAATAATGCATCCAATTATCCTTACATCCAAAGTTCCAAGTATGCAAATTACACAAAGTTCCAACTTCCAAAGTTCCAAGTATGCAAAAATAATGCATCCAATTATCCAAATGTCCAATTTCCATTTCTCAGAATCTCAACCAACCCACTCAGTTGCTTTACTTGCTTGAACTCTTGAAGTTCCACACCTCCATAGCTATTTTCCACACTTAAGTTTCCACCTGCATACAAATATAAATTAATGAACACATTGAATTGATTGAAACTTAAAAGCAATACACAAGGAGGACTCAAGGATAAGTTAATGAAATAAATAAGGAGGATCAGTGGCTCAGAATGCTTGTTATCCTTCACAAGGAATACAGGGGCAACTGCTTCAATTTCAGTTACAACTTACATGTTATGAACTGAAAGAGCATTACCAACCCTAAACCATACATTCAGTAATGTGTGGAAGCTTCATCATAGCCAATGAAAATTAATATAAATGATAGAGTCAAGGATTAATAGGATAAAGAGACACTTACTCAAAACCTGGAAATCAGATCAAGTGACAAGGCCCAAGGGTCCAGGGACAGTTCACAGTTGGCAGCATGTGCATTGTTTCCATAATGACAGAATCATACTCATTCAAATGTAACAAGCACACAATACATTATACATGCATATAGGGGTTCACAAGTACAACAAAAAAAGACATGTCAGCTACATTAGTACACAGTTCATGCAATATATTTAACAATTTAAGTATTACACATGGATACTGGATATAACATATACAGATAACAAATATACTTAACAGCTTCCAAAGTCACCAACATTTGCAATTCAGTGGACAACTTACACTTACCATTTTATGAAGTGAAACTCTGAAAGAGCAAGGGAAATAGGGGGCATCTGCTAAGGCTGACATTTCATAAAGCTCAGAATGCTTATTATCATTCACAAGGGAAATAGGGGGCATCTGCTACAATTTCATATACAACTTACAATTTTATGTACTGAAAGAGCAATACCAACCCTAAACCCTATATGCAGTAATGAGTGGAAGCTTCATCATAGCCAATGCCAAATAATAGAGCCAAGTACTCATGTTCAAACACATTGACATGGGAAATAAAGCACATAATTACAAAAATGTACAATAAATAAAAGAAATATGTACACTTATTGGCACAATAGAGGCTCCAGTAGGAGCAGAAGCTCCACCACCAACATTTCCATCCATGATTTCTGTAAGAAAGAAACACATTGTTAGAATTTAGATGCTTCAGAAATCAGAATAAGTAAATAAAAATACATAAATCTAATACCTTTTTCCAGCCTTTCAACATCATCAATGTTTTCTTCAACTGAGACAGGCTGGTGAGCCTTTCTCAACCAATCTTGTGCACAAATAAGGGCTTCCACAATTTTACAACTTAATGAACTCCTAAAACAGTCCAAAACCCTCCCACTTGTACTGAAAGTGGACTCAGAAGCAACTGTTGAAATGGGAACACCAAGTACATCCCTAGCCATTCTAGAAAGTATAGGAAACCTTTCACTATTTAACTTCCACCATCTAAGAATATCAAAGTCCTGATCTTCCTCAATAATGGACTCAGCTAAATAAATTTCAAGTTCAGATTTCTTAACTCCTAACTGACCACTCTCAAGCTTCTTCTTTTTAAGATCAGCCTTAAACCAGGACACAGGCCTACTTTCAGAATTACCAGAATCCATAGATGCTCCAGAAATAAAAGTTGAATTCTGACTTCCACCAACACATTCAGAATAACTTGACACATAATCAACAAATAACTCAGTTAGACCAGACTTCACTTTCAGAAAGAATTCAGCACCTTTTTTTTTCACCATATAAAGCATTCAGCTGAAATGGCATATACTCAAACTTGTCCCTAGGATCTAAGACATTTGCATAAAAGATAAGAAAGTTCATCTTCTCAGGATCACCCCAGTACTTATTTAATTTTGATTTCATAGTAGTCCCCATTGCACTGACAGAAGCAGTTGGAGAGGCAACCATATCTTTTAGGACAAGGAACAAGTCAGAGATTTCAGAAAAAAAGGTATTGGAAGTTACATAGAGTGAGCCTGAAATTCTAAGTGTCATTTCATAAAAACTTTGGAGAATGGTCACAAAAGATTCAACAGCAATCCAGTCTAAAACATCAGGAGTGTCATTACCCAAATCAGTACTAAATGCAGTTTCATTCTCCTCATAGGCTTCAAATACTTTCTCATTAGAAATAGCAGATTTCAGCATCAGGTAAGTGGAATTCCACCTAGTTGGAACATCCAGGTGCAGACCACACTTGGCTTCCACTCCTATCAAATCAGATAAATCTTTGAACTTTTGAAGCCTAGCAGGTGAGTTCCTAACATACTTAACAGCTTCCCTTACTCTCATTATAGAAGTGTCTGCATCTTTAAGACCATCTTGTACTGCTAAGTTCAAGATGTGTGCAATGCAACGCATATGAACATACTTTACTTTGACAGAAGAAGCACCCCAGGATATTAATTTTTTCTTAAAAAAACCAACAGCTGTATCATTACTACTAGCATTATCAACAGTCACAGTAAAAATACTTTTCAGACCCCAATCAAGTAAGCAATTCTCTAGGGCTTTAGCAAGGTACTCCCCCTTGTGAGAGGTGACAGGGACAAATGAAATAATTTTTTTATGGAGCTTCCACTGATCATCTATGAAGTGAGCAGTAATGCACATGTAATTTATCCTCTGAATAGAGGTCCATGTATCAGTAGTTATACTAACTCTCTGAGTGTGTTCCCTAAAATTCCTTTTCAGAGTCATTTTTTCATCAAGGTATATTTGATAAATGTCTCTAGCAATTGTCCATCTAGAAGGAATTTGAAACCTAGGACAGGCTGCAGCCACAAAATTCCTGAAACCCTGTCTGTCTACAAAGCTAAAAGGAAGCTCATCAATGATTAGCATTACACCTAGAGCTCTCCTAATAGCTTCTTGATCAAACACCCAAGTTCCTAGGACCCCAATATTTGCAGAGGGTTCACCTATCTGTGCAGGGACAGGCTGAAAGGTTAATAGGGCCTGTCTAGTGTCTTTAGCATGAGGGTTTTTCAGGCAACTAAGCATGTGATTTCTGATGGAGGAAGTTCCATGTTTCTTAGAGTGGCACCAGTATATTTTTGCACAGTATATGCACCTGCCTTTAATAACCACACCCTTTTCATCTTTAATTTGGACAAAGTGCTCCCATATCTTAGATCTTGGTTCTACAACTTTTCTCTTTTGTCCAGAAACAGAAGGTGGTGCAGTCTGATCATTGCCATTGATAATGTTAGGCTCAGGAGTTTGACCTTCCACCAGTGTTTCTTGACTCAGAGGAGGTTGAGATCCAGATGTAGAGTCCATCTAATGAGCATGACCACACAGTAACACATGATAATTTAATACTTAGCTTCCACATAGACACATAGTTATTATCTCATAGATAATATGTAAGTCTGGAACAATCAGCAAGCTGATTTACAGAAGGATAAAAGCACTTTGCTTTTTCACTTCTCTACAGACTCTGAAGAAACCAGTTCACTCTTTGTACTCGTTTGAGTAGTAGAGTACAAAAAGGCTTCTTCACAAAAGTAAGAATGCAGTTAATCAGTTATGTACAACAGATAACATTACAAGTAAGCCACACATGATAGTTCATATGATCATATCTCACAGTTATGTACACTAAGCTTCCATAATTCCACATACCACAGTCATACTGAGCTTCCACTATTCCACATAGTTCATATGATCATATCTCACAGATAATAATCATAACATGTGTATGAAACAATCAGCAAGTGAATGTCAAAACTCATGTATATACAGGTCTTAACTCATCACTCATGTATAACAAGTCAGAAGTCAGAACCACATCTCCACGGAAGAAACATATGAATAGGCAACACATGAATATCAGACTGGAAACACATGAAACATATGAATAGGCAACACATGATGATTGATGACATGAATATCTGCCAACACATGAATATATACATTCCACAGTCAGAACCAGTGAACCACATCTCCACACCAAGCTTCCACATTTCAAAGTATACAGGTCTAAACTCAGAAATCAAGTATACAGCCATACAGGT